TATTTACAGAAATAAAGCATTTGTTACAGTGTCATATATAGTCGGGATAGAGATAGGCGATGAAACAAACTTAATAAAGTTTGAAAGGAATTCACTCTAAACCTTCTACTTATTTCGTACTGATGATTAGTACTTTTCTTTCAATAAATATGTGTTCCATTTTTTTACAAATTTGAATAATAGACACTCAAGATATGAAGGATCTTAATTATGATCTCAATAGTTTATTCAGGAGCTCGACTCTAAGTTAAGCTTCTTAAATTTCATTTTATATTTTGTTGTACCACCGGAACTATTTGTTCCAATCAATCTATTTTCACAAGCATTTATAAAACTCATTACTCTCAAATAATTTCAAGTATAATAACTATTCTTTTATTTGATAATTACCAAAAAAATTGTAAAGTGAAGGAAGTTATATACGGTGCATTGTAATGACAAAAAAATCCAAATTTTGAATAAAACTGGTTGAATAATTTTGAAGAATTAACAAAGTTATTGTAAAAAAAAGGAAGGGAATTGGAAATCGTATATTTCCTTAAACAGTGCGTTTTAAAGGTCTTTTTTTGGTGCATTTTAATTAAACGGTGTATTTAAATCCAAATTTTGAATAAAACTGGTTGAATAAGTTTGAAGAATTAACAAATTTATTGAAAAAAAATAAAAAAAGAAAGAAACACAGATTTTTTTTTATATATTAACTTAAAAACAGATAACATAACTCAGAATTTTTTTCCTTTCCATAAAGGTAAGATATTTGACATATTTCAGCTCAACATATTGTGTCAACTTGTAAAACTAAGTTAAACTGATTCATAACAATCATGCATTAAACAAAATTTATAAAGATTAAAGTTAGAGAAAACTTAAACACTATCGAAAGATAACGAATCACAACTGAGGAAAGTGAGACAGATATCAAAACTAGTTTGATTGCAGAAGGAAATGGAGACATTTCTGAATACTTTTTAACTCCTTTGTTTTTTCTAACATTCAAACAGGATTTGGTGTTATCAGTGTCTCCTTTCTCAATAGATATTTGTAAAATGTCAATAGCATTTTTGTTATAACCGATCAAAAAAGTTAAAAGAGTCTTTCTTGTCAAACTAAAGACGTGCCTACCTGACTTTATTTGCCAATGGCTGGAGAACTTGGCTTGCCCAAATGCCATGATCCACAGAGTCATACAATAATTCTATGAAATCGTGTCCTGTATTTGGTTACTGATCAGTACCACAGATATAGGAATCTGGAGAAATTTTCCTTTCCCTTCAGATCTATGTCTAAATTAAGGAAGTGGCCTCACAACTGAATAGTGGTGCCATCTATCCATGGGATAATGAACTAAGACGTATTTTCCCTCTTTTGCGATTCTCTCTAGTCAAATGAAAAGCAAGCCTTCCTGACTTAATTTGCACAAAACCAACAGCTGGCGAGCTTAGTTTGTCCAAATGTCATTAGAAACAACAGAATAAATTTGTGATTTATACTTACAAGCATAGTATGCTTTTAAATCTGCAAATTTGAGAGTTTTCAAAATGCAACATAACATATGATCCTACTAAACTCTTCAACTACTTAGATTAATTTTGAAGAAAATAAAATAGAACACACAAGGCATGCTGTTATAAATAAAAACCAACTAATAAGATTAGTAACACGAATAAAATATTATATAATTATTAACTGCTATTTTTTAATACAACAGAAGTAGACAATTATCTGATAAATTAATTAGGAAATAAAAAAAAAAATTTAAAAAGTTACAATTTCTTCATTAGTAATGAAGTCTGTTTTGTCAGCTTCTTTTGAAAAGTAACAAAAAAGGGTAAAGATTAAAATTAATTTTACGAACTTCAACTTTAAATATAAAATTATGCTTTTTTTTTTTACTACTTCAACAAAAAAAAAATACCTCCAATCTTCGAGTGAAAATAATTTATTTTTATTTTTAAACATTTGAAAAATGTTAGGTAATGTTCAAATTTTTTTTTTCTTGTATCACATTAAGAATAATATCTATAGTCAATACAATGGTAAAGAAATTTTTAAAACAGTAACTAGAAAATCTACCATTCTCAACAGAAAAAACAAATTTAATAAAACCATAAAAATATAGATGTAAAAATATTAATAAATGGGAGAAAGTTTTGAAAAGGCTATTTTAATATCACAGATATATTTAGCAATAAATACTGTTATAATACTCAAAGCCAATAGAGAGTAAAAAATAAAATTCTAAGTCTGAAAAAAACAGGAATAAACAAATTTATGTACTTCTAAACAGACATATTAAGTAAAAGAATGCAATATTAGGCCTGTTCTAAATCTGAAACATTCATTACAGATTCTAAACCCTTCTGTTATATTAGTAACAAAAAAAGTAGTATGGCATAAAAGTAACAAATGGCTTAAAAATAACGAAATAATTTTATTAAAATAAAGCTATATGTTGTCAACTTCAGAAAAATTCTTCTTGAACAAAATCCATTGTACTAAATTTTAAAAGTATCTGTTTAAGAAAAATAGCAACAACAAAACAATATTAAGCCTGTATTGAACCTGGAACAGTTATTACATTGATGAATCTAAGTGTTATAATGGTGTATGGCAAAAGGGTGACGTGGCATACAAGTAAAAATGATAATGGTGTAAAAATAACAAAATAATCTTAATAAAATAAGGCAATATGTTGTTAATCCAGATAATTCATCGAAAATCATTTCAATTCTACTAACTTTTAATAATGTCTGTATAAAAAAAAACATAAAAACTAACTTTCTTTTTTCAAATCTTATTTATTTTTTACAAAGATATTCTATTATCTTTGCTATCTAAAATCAGTTTAGCCAGGAAATTCTATAAAGTATGGAATGTTTAAAGCAGTTTAAATTTCTTCCACAGAGGAAAAAACCTCTGGAAAAAAAAAAGTTTCGAAGAAAAGTGTTTCTTCCAGTGGAAAAAAATAAAACTAAGGGAAAAAAATGGAAGAAACTCTTTTTAATAAAGAAATATCAAGCATTAAATTAAAATCTTAAAATATTTTATGTTTGGTATCTAGCTTAAACAACAGTATTATTTCCCAGTCATTTAATAAATCAATTCTAAATAGAGTGGAAATAAAAAAAATATATAAATTGAAAAGAAAAATAATGAATTTCTTAAGAAATCAAAGCAATTATACTTTTTTTTTCAATATTTTACATAAAGAAGTATAGTATAAGTTTTATTATTATATTTACTGTTATTAATTTTGTTATTATAAAAGAAATCTTATAATATCCTAATTAAATTGTATATTATGGTGAACTTTAGATCAATCATATTCACAAATACAAACAGCATAATAATTTTCATAAAAAAAATGCTGGTAAGTATAAATACTGAAAACATTTCTTCGATAATATGCTAAATGTATTTGCCAATAAATATTTTTAATACTAATTGTATTTTTACATACCTATTCATAAAATTCTAAATTAATTATAATTTATAAAATAAACATTAAGAATTTTTAACTATAAACTTTCATTCACAAATTACTAAATTTTCATTTACAAATCAATGATTAATTTTAAAAAAAATTATTAGATTAGGTTGACTTTAAAACTTTTTTAATAATTGAGCTGAAAATAGCATCCAAACATACAAGTTTCACTTTAAAAATAAAACCTGTATATTTCAAATAAAAATTTTAAAGTTAAGTTTTTTTTTCTCTCAACATTTTGATAGCTTTATGGCATTTTGCTAAAGATTTATTTATAGTATTATAAAATTAGAGTGAAAAATTATTATTTTTTTGCTAAAAAAATCGCAAAAACTAATAAAATAAAAAAATATTAAAAGGAATATTAGTCTTTAAAATTATTGAATTAATTTTTTGTTACTTTACCAAATAATATTCCTTATTTTTTAGACAATTGTATCTTAAACAGAATATTCCATAAACTAAGAACAATATGAGTATATATAGTAATTCATCTAAATATAACTATACATGTTTATCTCTAGATATAAGGTGTCATATTTATTTAGGAAAATTAGAATGACATAAAGCAAAACTGAAAACAAAAACTTATAAGCTATCCAGATTTTATAATTTTGATATAAATAATATGAAAATAGTTATTTTAGTAAACAATTAATATAAAACTTTTTTGTACTATATTAAATTTCATTTCATTAAAACTTTAACTATTCATTTATCATTTTGAGTTATTGTAAAACAATTGCATTAGTCAAATTTAATTTTGTCCATTTTGTTTCACTTCTCTTATTTATTTTTTTTCCAGTTTCTTACAGAATTCTGGAAGAAATAGTTCTCTTCCGACAAATGCCAATTCTACAAAATGTGCAAACTCTGGTTTAAAAATGATTTCCAATTACTATTATTGCTTTCTCACAAAAATACATCTCAGAAACAATAGGTTTTGAAATCCTAAGAAATATGGAATGCTTCATAGTGATTCCTGATTATTGTTATTACTTTCTCACAAAAATATATTTTAGAAACAGTTGGTTTTTAAATCCTAAAAAAAAGGAATATTTCAGAGTGTTTCCTGATTATTGTTATTACTTTCTCACAAAATTATATCTTAAAAATAATTTACTTTTAAATCTTAAAAGTTATGACTTGCTTCATAATGATTCCTGTTTATTTTTATTATTTGAACCTTTGTCACTATCTTTATCAATAATATTAGAATAAGTCGTTTCTTCTTCCTTTCCTAAAGTTTCTCGTTTTATAATGTGACCAGGATCAAATTTTAATTCATTCCCAGAATCTAAATCTGTTTTGGGAGACTTCACAGCAACTGTTTTTGGAGTAGTCTTAATAGCAACTACGGGAACACTAACAGGGGGACTAGAAACAAATTTCAAATTAATATCTTCTAAGTTCTTTTTGACTCTGGGAGCTGATATGTTAAGAATCAACTCCTCGTTGGATTTCCTTTGAAGAGCATCATCAATTTGTTTATTTTCTCTCAATATTTTTGATGCATCGTTTTGAGCGTTCAACACAAAAGTTTTAAGTGGGTCTTCTTTGGATGTATTCTTTATAGGAACATATTCTCCAGGTTGAAGTACGTTTTCTTTTTTTGGAGGCTCATTTGGAGGTATTAGGTTTTTTATTGGTGGTACTGATACCACTTCTGGTACACTTTTTACTACATTTTCTAAAGATTCTGTTTTTTTAGGAATCGGTGCAGGTACCTCTTTTTCAGCGTCAGGAACAACAGGAAGTTGCTGTTCGACTGCATTTTTTCTTATTTCATCGTGGCTTTCCCTGTGCAACTTGAGTTCTTCTAAAACTTTTTTCTGTTGCTCCAGAATTAATTTCTGCTCCTTGTGTTGCTGCTCCAGTTTTCGCAGTATGCTTTCTTGTTTTTCAATGTTTCTCTCCTTCTTCGAAACATCGATGGAGTTGGAAGCCTGCACAGTTTCTTTTTGGATTTCTTTGTCTTCCTTCTGAAGGGCCTGAGGATCTAGTTCAGCATTTAGTTCAACCTANGCTGCTCCAGTTTTCGAAGTATGCTTTCTTGTTTTTCAATGTTTCTCTCCTTCTTCGAAACATCGATGGAGTTGGAAGCCTGCACAGTTTCTTTTTGGATTTCTTTGTCTTCCTTCTGAAGAGCTTGAGGATCTAGTTCAGCATTTAGTTCAACCTAGAGTTGCAAAAAAAAAAAAAAAAAAAAAAAAAAAAAAAAAAAAAAAAAAAAAAAAACGAAAACGAATTAAATAAAGCTATAATGAAATGCTAAGAGTATTTCATCATGAAAAAAATTTCCAAATAAATTTATTGAAAAATAAAAACTATGCATAACATAAAATATTCATTTTAAAAATATTGTGAATTTCCTTAAAAAAAGAAAAATAAAACAAAATTAATTAATTAAACAAATATATTACAAAAAAATAAATAGAAGCAAAATTAAATATGAAAAAATTCTATGTATTAAGCATGACAGAGAGAAAAGAAGAAAAAGTCTGTATGTTTATATACATATACAGTATACTCTCCTATGTATATTTATATACATATACAGTATTGAAGGGACGGTAAAAAATTTTGAGATAGTGAGTTTGAGATAACAAGTTCAGAACTAAATATGTTCTAAAAAGTAGAAAAATATATTCGAAAATATTACTCTAAAAAGTAGAGACACAAAACATAAGAATAACTACTATTAAATTTGTATGAAATGATAGTTGACTACAAGTCTAAATACAAGAATAATAATTTTATTTTTAAAAGTAAGACAAAAACAATTATGCATTAGGTAGAAAAAATTTGGTTTACAATAAATTAGCAATGTGATTTTTCCGAAAAAATATTTTTTCTATTTCGAAAAAAAAATTTGACATAGCAAGGTTTTGAGAAGAAACCCTTTGACATAGTAATTCAAATTAACATTAGGTGGATATGTAATGCCAAGGGGAAAGATATTTTTTTGACATAACAAGGTTCTCAAGATATCGAGAGTATACTGTATGCAAATATATTGATAAAAGTGAATAAAATAAAATAACTAAATATAGTAAAAATATTGTGAAAAAATAAACATTTAACATTTTCTTCAAAATTTTAGAAAGTTGAAAGGATCTCATGCTTGGCACATTTAAAAATATATCATTATTTTTTTATAATCAGCACAAAAATGTTAAAGAATCTTGTAAGTTCTATTTTAAATATCATAGTCAGTTTTAAAAGGAAATTAAAGCTATCCTTATTTTCTGGAACAAATAAAATAACAAAAAGTGTAAAATAAAATCTGTTAAATACCGTTTCATAATCTGCTGTAACTAATATACTAAATCATAAAAGTCAAAAATACCTTTGCTTCAGGCTCTTGAGGAACAGGTGGCTCTAATCGTTTCTGATCTAGAAAAATTTTTTAGACATATTAATTGTTAGATATGTTACATTATAAATTTTTATCTTACTTTATACAGAATGCAACTAAATTAATATTAAATAAGTGTAAGACTATTTTAAAAACTTTTTTTATCAAAATGGTATAACTTTATTCATTGCAATAAGTTTTAAAAGCAATTAAAAATAAGAACGGGTGGCTCTAATTGTTGCTGATCAAGTAAGAAAAAATCCTTTATCTTATTTTTTACAAAACATGACTTAATTAGTATTTAAAAAATATAATAAGATTAATTTAAAAACTTTTTTTTCTGAAATAGTATAATTTTATTAATTGCAATAAGACTTGAAAGTGATTAAAAATTATTAAGCACTTGTTTTTCATAATACTATTTAATATTATTTCAAAAATAACAACTGTTATTTTATGACCGTTGACAAATGCTAAAGTGTTATTGTTTACAAATCAAAATATTAATTAAGTAGCGTTGCACTGTTCTTCATATAGTCAAGATATATCTGTGAAATAACATTTTTTTAACTTGCACTCAGGGCGTGAAAGATCTCAAATTTTTTTACATGCCCTGTCATTCCTTGTTAATGCCTAATATACATGCCCTAACATCTTATTGGAATTAAACTTCAACTTTATGTTTACTAGTTTTTTAAGCGATTGGAGTAAACTTATTTAAAAAAATAAACACTTACACCATGGGAAATAAAAATTTTGGCATGTCAAACAATATAATTTTTGCGCCTTGTTTTTAACTGCATCATTGAGCAATACGAATACTGTTTAAGCAGCAAGAATATTTCTTCTGACAATTATCTAGCTCTGTACTTTCAGTTCTTATTTCTATTATTGGACTCTATGATGAATCATTTATCATGCAATAAAAAGGTTTATTGATTATTTTTCCAATTTTCTTCAGTTTTAGCTAAAAATATAAAAACTTATTAAAATAGTTGCATGCTAGCTGTTTTATCTACAGGGAGAGATAATGCCAGAAATTTTTTTTTCAAAAAACATATTGGTTTTTAAAAAGAAATTTCAAAAAATGAAGAAGATTTAAAAAAAATAGTTCTTTTTTTATATATAATATGGAGTAAAGATGCACAGATTTAAAAAAAAAACTGAAATTATTTAGAGAAATTGATCAAGCAAACATTATTTACCATTTGCTGCATTTTGATCTGGAGGTTTTTCTTCTTTATGTTCTTCTAAAAATTTTACCACTTTAGTAGATGAGCCTAAAGAAGAAATTTAAGCATAATACTACAATCTATTAAAGAATCGATGCACAATAATTTTCGCTAAATATTTTAAATTTATTAAAAAATATGAATCAATGCTAAATGTTGTATTTTAGATAGAATAATAGGATATATTTGTTTACAAATATATATCAAATTTTTAAGGAATGGAAATGTTGCTTCATAAGGATGAAAATTGAATAATTTCAGTGATTAATGAAAATATATCATGAACAAAAAGGATAACAAACAAAATTTGGGAAAATAAGATATCAACATAAAATAATTGAATAGTAAAATAGAAGACTGCAAATGCACATTATATAGATTGTGAGTATTTTACGAAGGAAGAGATGTACGGAAACAAGATGATGAGATATTTATAAAACGTAGGCTGAAAAAAAATTATTAAAAGAACACGCTAAAGTTGGATAGATAAGGCTTTTAACTAAAGCTGCACAAACTCCTTTTATAACAATTACTACTTTCCTTACTTTTTCCAAAAAATAAGAGAAAGATACGCGAAGTAACTGAAAAGGGCAATGTTTAACGATCGTGAAAGAATTTTAAAGGGGTATAAATAAAAGGATTACATGATCATTAGAATGTTCAATGCAATACTTTTGTTTTCTAGCATAAACTTTTTATTAAAAGAAGTAAACTACGCATTTAAAAGCAAAATGTATGCCAAGCATTTTCTCGTTTGAAGGATTAAAAAAATAACCAAGTTGGAATTCATTCAAAATATCAAACTTATTACAAAACTAAACTCAAGAAAAGTTTAATTAAACAAGAATAATTTAGAATACAAAGTAATAGTTTTATGTTAAAAATATATGTTTGTTTTGTCGACTTTATTAAAAAAAACGATAAACAATAATAACGAATTAATTTAAATGTAAGAAGCATTTTTTTTTCTAATGTAAATGCTACCGAAAATCGGGTGAAAATTAGAATCAAAGGTACAAAAATTTGTTGGATGGTGGAAATAGAGATTTTGGAATCATTTTCAAAACATGATACTAATTTTTAGAGCAATTAGAGGTTCATATGTGCATTTAAAAGTTTTCAATACTGATGTAATAAATTAATTATTAATTTCTTATTAGTTTTCATTTTTTTTAAAAAAATTTAATTTTGTAAATAGTGGACACTAATGAACATTTTTACACTAATTTTTATTTTTTCACAAAAACATGTGAGGTGCGTTTTAGAATTGAATTAATACAGTAACAAAAATTAGAATGAATGTAAGAAATAGAATAAACATATACTTAATGCTTTATATTTTTTAACTTACTTTGTGTTTTGATAATATCAACAGGAGCAAATGTAGCTAATATTTTTGGTTCAGCAATTTTAATAATATTTTTCACTGGATCTATTACTGGCTCAGGATGAGTTCCTTCTTCTTGGAGGGTTGAATATGTACATGCAATCAAAATGAAAAGCCCTATTCCAACTAAAAACTATAAAGTAAAAAAAAGAATTAGGATAAGAACAATATCTTGCAAGAAGAGAAAAATATCTTAATAAAAAGACATTATTATATCTTTTTTATGCAGTTAATAGACTAACATTTCAAAACTAATAAGCTAGAACTTCTATTAAATATCAAACTTCAATTCACTTTAGTTTATTCATAATTTAGCTTTTTTAAATCAATGCTTGAGAACATTGAAAGGTATAAGTGCTAGTGGCAATTTTGTTGATTTATAATGGTTCGTATTATTTTGCAATGGTTAGAAAGTGGTTCTTGGACATGTTACTATTCATATCTTAATTATATGAATAGGAAGAATAAAGCAAAATAGCATGAATAAAACATAAATAATGACATAAAAATGTACAAACTAAAGTTTTGGCTCTATAAACAAGAACCGTCTTCACGGTCAAAACAGAAAATATCAGTCGATTTTGAGTTTCAACTCTGAGGAAAGTTTTTGTTCATAGAACTAATTTTATAGTAGGTTCAGGTCCGATTTTTTTTGCTTTTTTCACTTTATTTAGTGTTTTATTTTGAAATAGCAGAAAATATACCCTACCTTCATTTGTATAGGATTTATGTTATTTTTAAAGAATACTAATATAACAATTTATTCTGCCCCTATGATTTAGCTTTATTTTTCAAGGTTTTCATAATAAATAACGAATGAAACACAATTAATGGTACAAAAATGCACAAAATAAAGTTCCGTTTATATCAACAAGTGGTAGCGCATTGCGCTCTCATGCTACAGGTCCTGGCTCGATCTCATCTTTCATCCATTCAGTGGGTCAATAAATGAGTACCAAGCATGCTTGGGAAGTAAACACTGGGGGTTCAGTGTTCGGCTTACCACCTAACCAGAACATCTGCTCCTGCACCCTAGAGCCCAAGGTCAAGAAAACTGAGATGGGCACAGTAGGCCTTGGCCCTCTATGGGCTGTCACGCCACTGAGTTTAGTTTATATCAACAAGAGCCTTCCTCAGTATTAAAACACAAAATGTTTTTCAATTTTGTGTTTCTACATTGAGAAAGGTTCTTGCTAATGTAACTAAAACAATTGCAAGTTCATTTTTCCATGTTGTTTTGCTTTTTTCAAATGTAGCTTAAAATATACACTACTCTCATTTGTATAGGTTTGTTATTTTTAAAGATTGATAAGATAAGGATTTATTCTTCCACTATGATAAGTCTTATTTTTCAAGGTTTTCATAATGAAGCACAAATAGTAGTTCAAAAATGGACACAATTAAGTTTCGGTTATATCAATAAGAACCTTACTTAATATTAAAACAAAATGTTTTTCAATTTTTGTTCCTCAATGCTGAGAAAGGTTCTTGTTAACAGAAACAAAACTATTGCAAGTTCATTATTTTTTTCAATATTTAGTTTTTTTTTTTTTTTCAAATATAGCATAAATTATACCCTACCTTCATTTGTATGAAATTTATGCTATTTTTTAAGATCACTAAGATAAGGATTTATTCTTCCATTATGATTAAGTCTTATTTTTTGAGGTTATGATGAAGTACAAATAATGGCACAAAATTGGATACTATACAGTTTTGGTAATACAAACAAGAACCTTTCTCTGTGTCTTAACGCAAAATGTTTTTTATTTTATTCTCCTGAGAAGATTCTTGTTAATAGAACCAAAACAATTGTAAGAACATCATTTGTGCTTTTTTCTCTTGTTTTGCTTTCTTCAAACATAGCACAAAATATATCATACCTTCATTTGTATAAGATTTGTGTTATTATCAAGATTGCTAAGTTTAGAATTTATTCTTTCAATTTTATTCTTCATGGATATTTTTGTCTAAAATCGTCCTAACAATGTGCTAAGACTAAAAAAAAAGTGTTGAATAACTTACTTGAGCCATTCTTTTTTCTGTAGTATTCTTACTTGTATCTTGTATGAACATGATAGCTGGAAATATGAGGCATATCAAAGTTCCAATCGTTGAACCAATTATTCCCAAAACAAATTCAATATTCGGTAGCATTATAGCAATGCCTATAGTAACAATGACCAAGCTGACAGTTAGGATTCGAAATCGATTTTCTGGTATAGCAGTAATGGTAGTGTCATGATGGCCAAATCCCTGAAACATAGAATATTTTTAATAAAAAATTTGTCAGTGTATAAGTTATGCTGAAAAATTTAAAATTACTTATTAATACCAGTTAAATATTTGATATTTTCAGTAAAAATATCTTACTTATCATAACACATCTGAATTTTGCTGAAATTAAAGATAAAAAAAATCTTATATTTAATTAGTTTTGTTTGAGCTAATAGTAATATATAAAAAATTCATTTTATATATTTCAAAAAAATATTTATTTTCTCATTATGCTTTATTGAATTAAAATTTAACTTTAATTTTGTTATAAATAAACAAAATAACTTACATTGTTACAAATTAAAAAGGTTAATTGCTAAAAAGTGTCACTGATAATATTTAATCATAATTATTTAAAAGTTTTACCTTAGTTGTAATAATGATTATTACCATAATTGTGATTGTCATTAGCTACATTTTGCCTATCTCTAGAACATACATTATGATCATTATTATTTTACACTAATGGAAGTAAGTATTATTATAAGGAAGATTTTTTTTGCTAAAATTCCTAAAGAAAATTCTTAAAAATAATTGGCTTAGTATTCTTTAGAACATTTGAAAAACTATGGATATTTAATGAAACTTGACTTCAGGAACAACACTGTAAAATCTACAATAACTTTACAATGTAAACAAACAATTTCCAATTGCAGTTAATTTTATTTTTACATATTTTGTTAGTTGTTTTGTTTATTTAATTTGTTCACCTAAATTTTGTAACATTAATTTCTTTTAGATTAATAAAAATGACCATAACTTCATGTTTTTCATCTTGATAATGACAAAAAATGTCTCGTAATTTAAAAGCGTGTCTCTGAAATTATTTACATCTGCTTCGAAAGATTCTATTATTAAAATTTGCTTGGAAAAAAAAGCAGAGATTCATTAGATGATTCATTAATTCAAAGATGATTCATTAATTTCCACTTAATATTTATTATTATTTTCATGGTTTTATCATTTCTCAGAAAAGTATCTGTAACCATGTGGTAAGGACTGCAGAAATAATTAAGTAGAATTAAGTCAATTTATTTATTAATTTTTTTCTTCTTCTAATGAAATGAAGAAAATTTTATCTCAACATTAATCAACCACAATTTTTTATATCTTTACATAAATATTTTTTTCGTATCTTTATTGTGCTCTGCTTTAAATTTTATTCATTCACTTCTAGAAAAACAATTTAATTTTGGAAATTACAACTGATTTTAAAACACTGCAAAAGTATATGTTTTCAAGGAAAATCCACAAAATAAATTTATAAGTTGTAGAGTGAAAATACATTTTTTTAGATTAAAAAATTTAGTTTTATTTTAAAATAAGAAGTTATAATTGTTTATGTACTATTAAAAAAGAAAAAAACTTCTGAAAATTAAATACAAATATTTGAAATTAACTACAATAAGATTTATATTTAAATGCAGCACAAAAATATAGTTAAATTGTTGATAACTTATACAATTTGATAAAAAGTTTTAAATTATTCATAATTCTGCCATTGATATCTGCCATAACATGAATTAACTACAGGTCATGCATTTCCTACTCATTTTGATATAAATTTAGAAAGAATTTAGAAATGATCATGAATCCACAAAGATTCTAAACCCAAGCTGCGCAGATTTTAGAAAGTCTAGTTTTTCAATTAAAAAAAAAGTATTCACTATAATCTTTTTATGATAGCAATTAAACTAAATAAAATTTCAATTCTCTATAACACATAGAAGGAAAGTTTGAGAGGCAATAACTATGAATAAAATAAATAGCAAAAAAATAAAAAATGAAGCCTTAGAGGTACAAAACTTTGAAGACATAGTAAAAATATCTCTGGGATTAATAACCATAGTTTTTAATGGTTTTCCTTGGTTCTTTAATGAAAATGATAATATATCTTTTTAAAACCCTTTCTCGCACAAAATTAAGCCACAAATATGAAGAAAAAAAATATCTTCCTGAAATGGATGAACAATAACTTCAAAAAATATTGCTTTTTAGAAATGTGTATCAAAAAGAACTATAACTCATATAAATTTTACAACCATTGCTGGCATGCAAGACACTTACCTGCTTAAAAATAAGTGAATGTAAACTGGATCGACATGGAAATAAGCATAAAGGAAAACTAATGGCAACTGTCAATATAAACCCAAGCTTGATAGCTTCTGTTATCATAGAGGGAGATAGAAAAACAAGAATATTTCCTGTTATGGCCTTGTCGTGAAATGCTATGTATCCCAAAGTACCGACCTGTAACACAAGAAATAATTTAACAAATGAACACACATTGTATCTTACAATTTATAATTAAGTCTTATGTATGCTAAATTATTCTAACAATGGCTGTTGCAATAAAACTTGTTTATGAAATTTATGTAAAATAATATCAGAGTGGTCTATTTTTGCAGCAAGCTATAATGCCACAATGTTAAATAGCTAATGTAATGAAATTTATTTATTTAAAAATGACAAATATTTTCATGACTTTAAGCTGCAGATTTTTAACATAAATTTTGTTAAATTAATCTTGATATCAGTACTTCCGAACAAATATCATTAACTATAAAAACCTAAAAATGCTTTTTACAAAGCAGTAATTGGTGATTTACACCACACTGTTTTAGAAATATAATAAAAGAAAAAGATTAACTAAATTTCTATAATATTTCAGTACAAAAGTGTAGAAAGTTCAAAAAGTAAATACTTGCTTAACAGGTTTTACTCTTCTTCATAATAAATTAAATATTTGATATCTAATTTCTGAACTTCCATTGAAAATTTTTCATTTATCATTTTTACCAAAGGGAAAAAATCATATAAAGTAGAAAAATTGGCTAAAATGTAAAATCATTTTAAAAATAAATCAATGTTTTCTGTTTTACAGAAGCGAAGTATTATTTTGATAATTCATGATAACAATATTATGACACTATTTTTAAAACACATTGAACTGTATAACTTTTATTGAGAAAAAACCATTTTGTATTCTTATTTACTTTTCTTAGACTTTCTTTCTTCAAAGTTAAATATTGTAATATCCAGGGATAGGAATTAATGGTAGTTTGTTAATCCAAAACCACTGAAATTTCAGTTGGACAAAAGAGTTATCAATGGTCCTCTAGATTAGTAATTCATGTGAAGAGTTGTATGCATTTTTGGCTATATGATTTTGTTACAAAATAATAAATTTCAAAATAATTGTGACATCACACATTCTCGATATTACAATTTTTCATTTAAATCCATTTATTAACTTTTTTCGATAAAAAATCTGATGTCTTAAGCGTTTCAATGAAAATGTGTTTGAACAAATGATGTTTTTTAGTTATATTTTCTAAATTTCCACCTTTGATATTTATCATTTTTACTCTTGTATTTTATAAGAATTCTTATTGTTTGAATATGTAAGAGTTATTAATAGTATAAAATTTGCTCATAATCTTTAGACTATCCTGTAACGGACACATTATATATATATAAACCAATAAAAACAAAATATGGTATAATTTACATTAAATAAATTCTTTGATAAAAAAATTAAAGTTTTTAATGAAGAAAACATAGTATGTACCATAATATAGACAGCCGAACATAAATGCACTGCACCGGCCACAACAGATTGCATCCTTTTCAAGGAAGGGTCGTTTGATGTGTCAAAAAACTCAAACAATTGCCTAAACAATTTATTCACAAGTATAGGTTAATCTTCAATAGATAAAACAATTATAATATTGATTGTGTCAAATAAAATGCTTATGAATAGGAAAGAGCAAAGTTACGTTTGACAAGAAAGGGCCATTGAAAATATGGGTAAGCAGGGAAGTATTCCTTCAGATTTCCACCAGTTTACTTCATACCACCACTCATTAGCCGAAAGATTAGGAACTGCTTCTGAAAATATCTAAAAGAAATATTCGACAGAAATAAATATTTACAACTAATTTAGTAAACTATTATGACTTTAAGAAGTTACAATAAAAGAACTACTAATGAAAACATTATGAATGTAATTCACGAATGCTAAATTATAAGAATAATAAAATTTCCATAATAAAATTTCTGAATATAAGTTTCTATAATAAAATTTCAATAATATAATAAAATTTCTGAATATAAGTTTCTACAATAAAATTTCAATAATATAATAAAATTTCTGAAACAAATGTAGTAAAACAATGTTACCAAAAGTAACTATGAATATCAATTTAATCAAAAACGTTTAAAATTGAAAATGGATTTGATAAACATAGCATTTACAGAATTTTTTGATCAAAATATTGTATTTTCTTTCTTAAAACTATTTTATAACAAAATAAAACATCAGTGAGCAGGGGGAAATAATCATAAATAAAAATGAAAGAAACATTCAAAAACAAAAAGGCTGTTATTCTCTAATACTATTAAATTATAGATAAACTTCAAATAAATTTTTTTAAACAAATATAGTAAAATTAGTTTTGAAATGCAGTGTTGAATCAAAATATAGTGTGTTCACGTTTTAAAAAAATATTTATAAAGACAGATCTTCTGAGAAATAAATAATTTTCAATTTTGGTTTATACGTTGATTAAAACTCAAAAGTTAGTTACATATAATGCTTGTGAAACCTTAACACACGAGCTTCTAGGAAAATTTTAAGCAAAAATTTTCTTGCAAAATCGTGTGTTCTAAATAAAAATAGATAAATAAATAACCTAAAGAGATAAAAAAAAAGTGTATTGTGCAAGAAAGCAACTCAGTATTATCTCAAACGTCAACAATTAATGAGTTAATTTAAAGAATTTAAAAAAAACTGCATCACATTACCTTTATTTAAAAAAAGCAATTTACGAGTCTAATTTATTATATATTTCAGGACTAAATTTGAAATGTAATAGACAGGGTTGGGTTTTTGAAGTCAAAAACTGGTTTTTGACATGACACATCAAAAACTTATTGAAAACTGTCAAAATCTGACAAAAACCTAGGACAAGTTTATATTTCGTCATTTGAGTCATCTTTAATATAAAATAAATAGTTATAAAATAGTAAATAACATTGGTCTAAAAGTATTAAGAGTGCCATGTTTTTCAAAAAACCAATTGAAAATTGAAAAATTTTGGCTATAATTTTTATACATAGTATATAATATAAATCATAATTATAATTGTATATAAAGCAAGTATTGTGTATGATTTCCAATAAAATAACTTTGAGTTATTAAGTATTAGCAATCTAAATATTGATTTTAATTCTTTTATGAAACAATTTTGGCAGATTTTTCAGATAAGTAAAACTAGAGTAGTCGCCAATAATTGTCTGGTCTCTACTTATAAAGTTCTTTTTATACTCAATATTAGTTGTTATTAGAGAAGAAGAACATGTCCAATCGTGCGGAGGAGGTTTTGGGAGACATTCAAGCTGCACTGGAGAATTTTTTTGGTCTAAAAAAATCACTACAAAATTTTTTATTGTTAAAAAATGTGTCTCAGTGCAAAATATTTCCTTATTAAAATAACATTATATGTTTATTTGTGTATTTATTAGTTATAATTCTTTAAGTTTATGAGTGGGTAATTTAATTTAATAAATTATCACAAAGCTCATTTATTTAAGAATTTTATAAAATCTGATTAATTTTTTTCTTTGTTTTTATTGTCAAAATTTTTAACTAACATTACATAAATTTTACTTTACAAATTAGTTTGAAAAAATTATTAATAAACAAAAAAAAAATTGGGAGGAAATTTCAATCTAAAAAAAAAAAACTTTGTTCTGAGTAAATATTAGGCTCAGAGAATTTTATGCAGCCATGCTTACACAAACATGAATATTTCCAATAAATCATAACTATAAAATATTCCTTGTCAAGTAAACTATTATAATTTAAATGAGTTAATTTTTTCAATAAATTTATTCCAGGGTTTAATTAACAGTTACTCTTAATATTAAGTACAGTTATCAGTAGACCTGAACCACTCGGCACGTAGTAAATATAAAACAAAAGTGGTGACTTAAATTAAACAGACAATCAATCCCTTTTTTTTTTAGAATTTTTTTAATAATAAAAGTACATCAATCCAGAAAGAGACTTCGGAAAACAAAATTTTAGTCAAAATGACCAATGTCTCCCTTTAAAATTTTGATTTTTCAGAATCCATCAATATGTGATGGAAAGATTCATGTGGAAGGAGAGCTCCTTGACAATTCAGATATTTCTTCCAAATATTTTTAAACAAAGTTCTTTCGAGTCAATATGTTTAACTAAATTCTTTCACATATTTATATTATTTTAATAATTGAATTAATTTTTTACAAGATGCAGGATATTTCTAAAACGAATTTTTTTAAAAAATACTTAATCCAAGTAAAAAAAGTTTGAACAAGTGGCTATTGAATGAACCTATGGTTATCAGTCACTGACTAATTAGGTTTGGGGGGAAAGTGGGTAAGAGTCTACCTGCCACTGGCTACAAACTAAAAATTTAAATTTTCAGGTCTAGTTATTAGAATAAATTTTCTAATTACAAGTTATTTTATAATGGTTTTAGCAGGTCTACACTCTAATTCATGCAGTTTAGCATCAATTAAAAGAATGATTTTGAATTTTGGTCTTATTCACGCAAAACTGAAAAATAAACTTGGAGTACAGAACATTTCAAAACTATTTCCTTGTAATCGCATGATTCCGAGAAAGGAAGAGTTAAAATATGAGTAAATGAAAACTTATTTTACATAAGATAAAAAAGATGACTAAGTGTTTTTTTCTAAAAAGGTGACTGTTTTTGTATTTTTATTTTCAATAATCAAATTAATGGATGGGATAAATTCTAATTTTACATATTTTTATTTATATTTATTATTTTCTAAATTGAAATTCGGGTTTTTGCATCAATGGTCAAATAAAAAAGAGAATTTAAATCCGAAATAATTCAAGAGCATGATAGATTGATCACTTCCAATTTAATATGTACGTTTACTTATAAATACTTCATATTTATAATGGTATGGTTAATAATTATCCTAACTCCAAAATTTTTGGTTTTTGAAAATCAATTGCCAAAAAGGGGCTTTTGACGGTTAAAACTAGATAAAACCGTCAATTGTCAAAAACTTTCTGGCCCTGGAAATATAAAACCGAAGCAAAAAAAAAAAACACATCTTATACTTACTTTCAATATCAAACAAGCATAAAAAGCAATTGAAAATGCACTTAGACTTGTCAGACTATCAATTTTTCTTAACATTCCTAAAGGTAAAGCGACACATAGACCCACAAATACTAGTAAATTACTTCTTAAATTGGGGGCATTCTAAAGAAAAGAAAACAAAGATAAATCAGTAACAATCCTAACAAAAGGAAAACATAACTGATTTTTGAGCATAACAACACAGCGTAGATAAACCATACCTCAATATATAGAAATTCAGCTGCCAAAGGTGGACCAAGATCCCCAATAACTACAAAAAAGGCAATACAAACTCCTATTAGAAATCCAATTACACTGAAATAAAATAAAAATTATCAAGATAAATTTTTTTGAGACACAGGAAAATAATAAATAAAGTATTATACGTACCTAATTTCAACTGCAAGCTTCCCTGTTGTACCAAACGTATGAAAAGCTGAAATAGATTTCTTTGTTAAAAATATATAGAAGTTCTCATGAAATAAAATAATAATTTTAAAGAAAATCATAACTATATGATACCTAAAAATTCAAAATTCCTTCTTCTTGCCATTATTGCAGATTTTAAAAGCAAATAACATGCTGTACGAGTAAGAATTCCACTGATGAAAATGAGAAAAATACTCAGCAAAATTCCACACTATTTAAGGAGAAAAGAAAGAAATTAACATCTAATATAGGTATTATAAAAGAGTTATTTAATACAAAGTATAAATGAAGAAATGTGTAAAATAAACAAAATTAAATTGAAATCATTGTATTGTTTATATAATTGGTAAGTGTAATAAATATTTATACTTCGCTATGAAGCTCGAAAATCATATTGCACAACATGGCAAGGAATATAAAAGTTTGGATGGGAGCATATTCTTATTCAATCAGAAATACTGCAAAATACCAATTCAGCATCCCTCAAATATTTATGAAAATTGCCAAGATACTAGTTAAGAGGAATAAACAATGTTAATGGAGGGAGAAAGCAAATAAATATTAGACTCACAGATTACTGAATTCAATTACATAATCAAGAATTTATTAAACAAAGTTAGCCTATCCTTTTTTATTCTTGAAGTCATGCTATAGTCATAATTTGTTACAAGTTTTTAATTTTTACTTAATCTTCTATAACTTTGCTCTCTAGTTATGGTTTCTGCAAATCAGGATGTGAATCTCTGTTCGTAAATAAAAATACATTTAACTTAGTGATGAAACCCAAATCAATTAAGAAGGGAAATTTTTATTACTAATAGTCTCAATAAAATTTTGGAAATTTTTTTTCTCTCATTATATTTTAAGAGGTACTTTTACTTTGAAACCCAAAAATGATATACCTAAAGTTTTCAGCAATTCTTTTATTCTTTTTCCAATCCCAAAACTTGAATACTTGTAAAGCCCCTCACAGTCCATTGCAAGCAGCAACAAAAACTTCTAAAGCATTTTTCTTGAAGCTACAATTTTCAAGTGCTCATAAAGCACACAAAACTTTACCGACTGTCTTCAAATTTTAACTGTATATTTAAAAGTACATTCTTCAAAAAAATATTTATGGCTAGTTCATAATTTTTTATTATTTTTTTGTAAAGAGGGTTTTTATTTCAATATACACTTCTGTAGCTATTTAAGCATTGATATAATTGATACAAAAAAAAATTTAAAAGTTGAAGATGCTGCTGGTATTGATATACTCTTTAAAAATTTGGCTTCATAAATGGGAGGGGAAAAAAATACAGCTGGAATTTTGTTTTGTATCCTTTTTGAAAAACTCATTTTCATTTTTACAGTTCACTAATTGTATAATAAATTACTTTTTTTTTCAAAATTTTTATTCATATTTTGCTGTCTTACTGAAATAATTCTCAAAATATGCTTATTCTGGTATTAGAGTGTCCTAACCTGTTATCAGAAAAACTATATTATTTTTTTAGTTCACTACAACTACTATGTTACAAATGTAGATAACTACAACTACTACTTTTTTTTAAATGTAGCGACTAAAAACCACTTTGGAAATGTAGTAACTACTTCACTACTCTATGAAGACGGACCTAATTGGAGAACTTAATTTACACCTATGTTCCAAATGGTTTTGAATAAATAAAAAAAACTGGCTGAGATTGGCTTCTTAAGAAATATTTATTCATGCTAAATAGATCCAGTTTGCCGTTCCAAAAAAAAAAAATCGAATTTGTTCTTTAAACCTTAAACTTATTATGCCTTTCTCGACATTGCCGATTAAATTTAAGAAATGCTAGGAAATTAGCAAATATTTGAATTTTAAGTGTTTAATGCTCTTTTATTACCACTAAGAAACTAAACACATTATACATTACATTACATAGTACATTAAGTTCCCTTCCTTTGTTATAACATCAATGTTTCACAAATGAGCATTCACATATGAAAGTGTGATCAAAGTGATAAATTATCTATTCAACATAATGGTAAGTTTAAATATTAGTTATACACAATTCTAAATATGTAATTCTTAATAACACTCAGCCTCAAACACCAGGCCACTTTCATTGCATCCATTGATAGACCCATGAAGATTTTAGTTGTGTTAGAGCCCTGTTTTTTCAACTAANTTGGCTGCTTGCCTAAAATGTATCGCATGATGCAAAGATTTTTGGAAAATTTAAAGTGTAAATCTTTATTACTGCTTTTAAATAAATCGTTTTCTTAGCTGCTTAAACATATATTTTTGGTTTATTTGTTTGATCTTGATGTCGTATTTTTTAATTACCATTGCATAATAATTTTTAAACAGCTCCTTTACAACAAAAACTGGTGATCAGGAATTACTCCATAAATGATCAAGAGAAGGGGTAATTCCTGATCACTAAAATTTTAAAATCCTTTAAATTCTAATTGGATTTTCAAACAAAAGAAGGTAGCATAGGATTCCTCTCCTAAACCCTCAAACTTCCAGTAAATATTAAAATTCTATCTTGAATATTTTTTTCACAAAATAGATGTTTGCATTTTTTGATCAGGAATTACCCCAGGTCACCCTAACTAATAGAGTAGTTTCACTGTTTGTAGTGTGCTACTTCAGACTGCGGGACCTAATCTATAAAAAAATCAAGTATTTTTTATTATTATTGTAATAGCATTATTTTATTTTACCACCGTTGGCGAGCAATCTATCTAAGCATGAATGTAAGACAAATGCATTGACTTTCACTTTTAAATATTATAGTGATGGAGGTATTCAAGAATTGTTATTAAAAGTTATAAGACATTGGTTGGTATCTAAAACTGACAAGAATTCTCAAGCTTGTTATCAAAATTGTGATACGATCAATTTAAAATCAATTAACTGACACTACATAAAAACACTAAAATTAATACATTACAATCAAAAATTCTAAAATCTATAAGATACAAATATCATTCATAGAAAATAAATTACTTAGAGCAAAATAATTATCAGTTGTCAGACTATTTCCAACATTTTTTGCTTAAAAGACGTGAAATTTGCTATAAATACAATACAAATTTCAATAACTTTTTGTAAGTTTGAGTTTATAAATAGCTTTTATAATACCTTTCGAAAACAGTATGGCATTGCCAAGATACTGACTCCAATAATACTGTTTCCAATGTTGATAACATTCATAAAGCAATTATAAGTGCAAGTAGACATCTTTCTGTAATGAAAATTAAAAGTGATTCTAAAAATAATGAAAAAACCAACAATTATTAGATATTTTCTATGAAAACAAGGTCTAGTTTTGTTAACAATATAAAAGAGAAATGATTAACTTAGTCCCGAACTTTTTAATGTAAATACAATAATTTTGATTATTTTTAAGCATGTCAGTTTTGATAAAGAAAAATGTATTGTAAAAGAAAAAAATTAAACAACTCTTTCATTTCTTAGTCTATTCTATTGCTTTTATATTTACCAGAATTGAAATCGGCTTACAATAATAATATCACATATAATTTTCTTACATATTTTCTCATTATACTTAGTTTTTTTTATATATATAAATCTTATTTTAGCATCTGACTGAAAGCATGGGGATATGTCCGTATCGTGATATGTCGCACCAACAACAATCGCCAAGGTACCAAATAGATTTCAAACTTGCAAATTTGCTTTTAAAAAAAACATGTAGATGTTTACAAACTACGGCAAACAACGTTAAAGAGCACAAAAATATTTTTTTGCTCTTTAACATTGTTTGCCTTAGTTTGTATTTCAGCACAAAGGTCACCCACTTGTGTATTTATGTAGATGTTTGCCCGGGGGTGGCTACAAGTTATACCCTTCAAGTTGGTTCCTTTCTGTGATGTTTTCTTTAGTTTCTCGCGGGCCATTGCCCGGAAGTTTCCAAGACTTGGCAATTATTCTGCCACAGATCACGATATGGAAATCTCCCCAAAAGCAAATACAGAACACTTATGCTTTTAAAAGTTCTAACAAAAAAGGATAATAAAAACACATTTAATTAGTGATGATAAAATTTTACTTGAAAAATAAAGAAATTTAAAGTAATAGCCAAAAATAGTTTATTCAGAATATCTTACTATTACTGTTCTTTAAAAAATTATTCTTTTTTCGCACGAATTGTTTTCGGGATGTTTTTGTACTCTTATGGTAACACTGTTAGTTGGTATCTTCAAACTTAACTTTTTAATCTAAGCTAATAAATGTAGGTCGAAACATATTCGAAAGAAAACAAAAATCGAACTGGATATTTCTGTTATTATTTATACATTTTGTTTTTAGCATCAAAATTTTGTGTGATTTTAGATATGTATTTCGAAAACAAATTTCCCTCGTACTTTCTTCAACTAATTCTTATAGACATCGCAAAAGAAAATAATTTTTTAAACAGATTCAAAAATACAAGCTAATATCCCCGGCCACAAATTTCAAAAAGACACAAAAATTGGGAAAAAAATTATTATTTTATTTTACCACCGTAGGAAAACAAACTTTCTAACCCTGAATGTAAAACAAACACATTGACTTTCACTTTTAACTATTAAGCCAACGGAATTTCAAGAATTGTTTTTAAAACTTATAAGACATTGGTATTGGTATCGAAAATTGGCAAGAATTCTCAAGCTTGCCATTGAAATTGTGAAACAATGTAAATAATATAAGTTAACTGACGCAACATAATAACACTAAAATTAATATACTACAGTCAAGAATTCTCAAATTTATTAAATTAAAATATCATTTATACAAAATAAATTACGCAGAGTATAACAATTATTAGTTTTCAGACGATTTCCAACACTTTTTGTTTACAAAACAAGAAACAAAAACATACACGTTTAACAGTTAAGAATACAGTGATGAGACAAAAATACTTTCGAAAGTATTCTTTGTTATACAAGAAAGCTAAAAGCTAGTGTAAGCATCTCACATGTAGATTATTAATTATAACCCTGTGTCAATAAAATAAAAATTAAAAATATTGCGAAGCTCACAAAAACATGCTTTTTATCATGAGCTTTTTCTAAACATTAGATTTTCTACTAGACGACTTACATTTGTGAAGTCAGAACTGACTTTGTGCTATTCAATTTTAATTATATTATTCCATAACATTGCAAACAGACAATGAAAATCGAAGAAGTAGAACAGTGTAGTTTTCAAAATTGGTATAATAATTTTAAAAATGTGTCTGTAAAAAGGTATTGTACTTTTTATTTCAGTAAAAAAAAAGTTAATACATAGCCTAAATTATATACTTAATTGCACTTAAACTTAACTTATACTTAAACATTGCTCCATAAAATAAACTATTTATTGAATTAAGTGATGATAATTGTAAGCAAATAAATAGTAATCTTACAATCAAATGATCAATTCAAAAGAAGATAGTTCAACTTTGATCAAAGATCCGTCATACATGACTGTTTGTATGGAAATTAGAAAACAAAAATTCATTATTACTTAGTTTCTTACTTACTTTATCTTTTTTCTTAGTTTCTATTGGTAAAGTTATTAAGGTTTTTTAAACAAAAACTTCTCATCAACTAGGACGATACACTTTATACTATCCTTAATTTCGGGGAAATAATTACTATTTTTAAATAAAATCTAGATGTATATGATTTGAGTATTCTTAACATTTTGTTAAAAATATATATTAAAATTATTAAAATATTTCAGCATTATTCTGCCCCTTCCTGATGATTTCATTAAATACATTTTGGCAGATGGAATTATTTTGCCAAAAAGGTAAGAAAAAATAATTTGTTTTTATAATACAAAACAAAAAATTGTTTTTCCATTCATTATCATTGCCGGGCAATGTTGTCAAAAATGTAACAATTTTTAACTATACAATCTTTTTTTAATGAAGAAATAAAAATGTGTTTCTATCCAGCTGAAAACATAATTTTCTTTAATTAATAGTTTTTTTTAATTTTGAGCATGAATGTAAATTAAATCTTCCAGAAAAATTCGTCTTTTAAATTAGCTGTGAATATGTTTTGAAAAGTGTTTGTAGTCACTGCATTTTTTAAAAAAAATGTATTTGTATCAGTATGTATAAGTAATTGTAGTTAACTATATTTTTTAAAAGTAATTGTAGTTATAATTACCTACAGAAAACGAGCTGTTTTTCTTACCTCTTGGTGATTCATCAATACTTACTTAGCTTAATTCTCATTTTAAATTTGATCTTTTTTACCAAAGTACTGTTTAAATTAGTTTCATAAATGTTAATTCTAAGAATACTTAGCACAAATTTTTAATAACTTAACCTGTAATATTTCTGTTGTTCTCTACTCTATTCACTTTGAATAGAAAAATTCTGCTTAGATTTAGAAGGAAAATTATTGTACTGTAGAATCTTGGTCAATATTTTCTTTGGGGAATGATAGATATGGCAAAACAATGAATGAAGAACAGCATAAATGTAAAATAATGACTAATAAAATACAAAATAATGACTTGAAAAAAGTAATAAAGAAGTAATGGACTTGTAAACTAATACAATAGGTATAAAAATTAAAATGAGAAAATTATGTTCTTACTGCAAAAATATTTACACTTCAAAAGTTATAGTATAGAAATTTTGGTTTGAACACACTCTTTTTTTCTTAATATAAACAATACATTTCTGGCATTTGTTTCAAATTGCAAATCTTTTTCTGTAAATTAGTGTGAATACATAAATTCTCTTATTATTTCAAAGGCTTTGAGGCCTTTTGCAAATGTTGCCTCTAGTTGTGGTTTTGTTTCATCTTCATCGATTTTATTTTGCACTTCTGCACTCAGCATTTTAATGAACTGATTGAATAAACATCATTTTCTAGGTGTTTTTCCCAAACTGTAACTAATCCTCCTTTTCTTCTTTATTATTAGCATCAGGAGTTTCTGTGTTTCTTCACAAAATGACATAAATTAAATTTTTTTTTCAAGTGCTGGTAAAATTTTTGAACAATCAATGCTGGAATCTGTTAGTTTCAAAAACAGACTTTATTTTGAAAATACTTTTTTATAAAAGCATATTTTATTAAATTAAAGAAATTTGATAAATTTTGATTTTTTTTTATATTTTAGTACCAATGTTTCTCATGTAGTTTCCACCAATGATAGTGATTTAAGTGATGAAGAGGTAATTTTGTGCTATTATTTTTGTTTTTTAATATTAATCATATATATTACAAACTTATATTATTTACTAAATTATATTTTCAAATGTTATTTTAGGAAACATGGGAAGAAGATACTGATGAGGCTGAACCTGAGGTTTGATTGAGAGTTTTTATATAAAGTTTTGAAATAAGTATATTGCATTGACCAGGTTTTAATTTTTTAGCCATATTGCTTTTTAATGAGTATATTTATAAGATTTATTATCTATTTTATCTTAATTGTTTTCAGTTATTTGAAGTATTTTTAATTATCTTCCTTGCTCCTGCACCCCCCCCCTTCCTCAAATACATTTATTGTAAAATGCCTGTTGACATAATTACAGTGCCCATCACTAACAAAATCACTGGATTGTAAAATTTGCCATTTTTTAAAAACAAATTTACAAGATCTGAACCATTATAATATCAAAGCATATTAAAACCATCTTTTAATAATCATTAGCACCTTTCCACAAAATCAAAAAATTTATTGAAATGTTTTAAAAAATGAACCTGCTTTCTCTTTCAGTTTTTATTTTCTTAAGTTTTAAAACTTGTGTATCTTATGGATGCTAAAATCTTGTCTGCCGCTCATGAACAAACGAATGAGGTTACGGGCCTGGTTTGCTTATGATTTTCTTTCTTCTCAAATTTTGAAAGGGGGGATAATATATAAATAATGAATTCATATTTGCCATAATAGATTTAAAAAAAGAACAAAACTACAAACGTCGTTTGAACTTTTTGGAGAAATTGAATTATTTTAGTTTAAAAATAATGACATAGGAAAAGGAGAGTGTAAAAGAATCCAAATGAAAACTGTAGAAACAAAGAAAGTTATTGAATACCTCTCATCATTCATTATCAATGAGCATGAATTACTTAAACAAGGTAAACTGTCACTGATAAGAAATATCAAACCGGCAGAATAGGATTGTTTTAACAAGTTGCCACTAATGTTTTTATGTTCCAGCTGTAAATAAATGTGGGCCGTACATTTTTACATTAATTTAAATTTGTTTCTTAGCAACTTGCCTAAATGGTGAGATTTGAATGTCAAAGATAGATTAGATTTGAATGTCAAAGATAAATTTGAAACTTTACAAAACTATGATTAATTTAACTAATTGTAATCAACAGGAAGCAATGCTTAAATTAGAGATTTCTTAAACAGCTCTGTTTAATATTCTAAAACAGAGGGGTAGGGGAAATAGTCGATGACGTGAAATAGAATGGCAATCTATTAAGAAAACATAAACGTGAAGGAAAATCAAAATAAATTCAAACTTCTTAATTTATGCTTTCTATTTCTTCTGATCAACTGCTTTGCTGGAATGGCCCAAAAAAGCTTGTGATTGTAAAATTGCCCTTTTGCGTTCAATCTAATATCAGAAAATGCAGAAATTTGCTAATCTGTTTGGAGATTCTGTCTTTAAAAAAAAGAGATGGATGGTTAATTAGATGAAAAGACTTCAACAACATTGTTTATCATAAACTTCATGGTGAAAAGCAATTTGCAGATTCTACATCAGCTGAGGATTGGATAAAGGATGTATGACCAACACTGATTAAAGGATGTATGGCCAACTCTGACTTGAACAAATATTTAATTTTGATGAAACAGGATTATTTTATCTGCATTTCCAAAACTTACATCACTCTTTAAAAATGATTTAACTAATGAGTAGAAAAGTTGAAACAAAGATTCATGCAATATGATAGGAAATTTGAGCAAAACTCCTCTAGTGGCAGAAAAGAGCAAAAAACCTTGTTGCATCAAAGGAGTTAAAAACTTGATAGTTAATTATGCACATAGCTATATAGCATTGATTAAATCAAGTATTTTTTAAAAGAATTCCATCTTGAATAGGATTAGGATCTGAAAGAGGAAAAAATTATTCTACTTTTAGGCAATTGCTCTGTGCATCTGGCAATCGAAGAGTTACGCTTTAAAAACTTAAAGTTGGTGTTTTAGCCTCTAAATGCTACATCAATAATCGAACCACTTTATGCTCTAAGATGCACTTTAGAGCGAAGAGGAGATAATAGTAAAGGTTTAAAAAACTTAAATAAATTTACTTCCTTTCTTTAATTTCAAGACCCTTCTGTACATTTTTTTTTAAAAATGCAAAATCTAATTAATTAAAAAATGCGAATTAAAACAGTTGTAATAAAATTAAATATGATAATTAATTCAGGTTTTAATGTATTAGTTAGGTTTTACTTTGAAACTTATTTTTTCTCAAATTGTAGGTTTGTAGGTATATTAGCTTATAAAAATCAGCTGCTTTATAATTGTAGATATGCCAGTTTATAAAATCAGCAACTTTGTAAAATCAAATTTCCTCTTAAATGTGATTTTAATATGGGGCAAGGACTGTATTTGTTTCTTTGAAATTTGTGAAAACTATTAAAGCCTGACTATCAAGGAGAATTTTATATTGACAGCTATATTTCAGTAAGCAGAATTAACTTTTTGCTACGTTTGTAAAAGATTTTTAACTATTTTAGAAGAGTTAAGAATATATATTATTAAAAATAGCACACTGTTCTCTAAAAATCACTATTTCATATAACAGCGTAAGAATTTAAGTAATATTTAAATAGTTATTTCTCTACTTTCTAAAAATGAACTTTAAATTAATAGGCTCCTTACTTTCCTGAGTTTGATCAAAGTATTGAAAATGCAATAGAGAGCTTAGGTGGAAAAGTATTTCCGAAATTGAACTGGAGCAGTCCTAAGGATGCATCTTGGATGGGATTTAACTATAGCTGCTGCAGTACATCCATTTCAGACATCTACTTATTATTAAAAAGTTCAAATTTTATCATTCACGATATCACACAACCGTAAGTTATTTTTTTTCCTCAGTACATAAATGAAATATTCTTAAAATTTATACACATTCAATGTTATACCTTTCTTTTTGTTCAATCAAAATTATTTAATTCATTTTTATTTTGTCTTAATATTTGTTTTTGTTAGCAATGATATTTAAATTACTGGCGTAAATATGCTGCAATTGGGATTGATTATCATTCAAAATGTTGAAATTTGTTGATAAATTATGTATATTTTTGGGGTTATCTTAAAACATAAAACAGAAATTTCTGAAATTCTGAATTATATACTTGACTGTGAGACTTTTTTTAAATTTTCATGTAGTAATAGCATAAAAACCATTCATTTCCTAAAAACATGAATTTCTAAAAAATGATAAATTTTTACACTGAAAATTAAATCTTCACTTAAAAATTTTGAAGTCTGACTCATCATGGATAGTGCATAGATTGGGCAAAATTTGGAGCTACAACTTGAGTAATTTTTTAATAAAGTATGCTCTCAGCTCTCCCTTAAGAGGAGGCCATACAGCGGAAGAAAATTTTCGTCGCAAATTCTCTTTCTCTTTTATTACTAATTTAAAAGAAAGAAAAAGTAAGTTCAGGCAAACCTAGAGTTTGTCATGAAGTTTCAATTGCTAAAAGAATACTTCAAAATATTAAAATGCTGACAAATTATTAGAAGAGAACTTCTCCCTTGCTTAATCCTAAGTTATCATCTCATAATTTATTTTCATTTGTGTATTTTTAAATTTTCTTTTCAGTATTTGAAATTTCGTTGCTTACTCTAAGTTTGTCTGAACTCACTTTTTCTAAATTTTAAATTAGTAATGAAGAAAAAAAGAATTTGTGACAAAAATATTATTCTACCATATGACATCCTCTTGATAAAATATATAATCCCCACTTTTTTTATTTATTATTTCAATATTGTTACCATATGCTTAATTTGTAATAATTTTATGTCAAAAAAAATTTAATATTGCATTGTTAAAAAAATATTTAGTGTTTCAATTTTAAAAGCCAATAGAAATATCACAGTAATTTAAATTCTGAACTTATCTTAATCTGAATCAAAATGCTTCAAACATTTCAACCAGAAAGAAATTCAGTTGGGAAAATAAAAATTCAAGGTTATACTTATTTCTTGCTAGCAGAATACCTGTACGAGATATAAAAATAAAGAAAAAAAATCTATAAATTACTACTGAAACAATGCTGAAAATCATGCCCAAAATTAAAAGGTATATTAATGGTAATTAAAAGGTACCAATACAACTAATAAAGCTTAAACAATTCCAATGTTTTTTATTATTATATTTTCCCCTTAGTGACTTTAATTTTTAGATTAGGCGAAACGTGTTTTTAGCAATTCATCCTATCAAAATAAAGATGAACTTTTTTTCGATATCATTTAGCACGAGGCTGCTACTTGAAGCCAACAAAATTTAATAGCGATAGTCAAAATTTAACACAATCAAGAGATTTTCTTTAGTACTTTGCCACTGTCAATCAAGAACCCCGTGCCAAAAAATCTTTGATCCCCTAACTCCTCTCTTAGCTAAAGTACTATTGACTTTAAGTTGTTTAGTTTTGTCAAAACACCTTTAAAAACAGAGCTATAAGCGAACTAAACACATGGTTTCAGATAACTTTAGGAATACTAATTTGCTGTCGTAGTCTGCCTATGCTGTTCCGTTCACATTGATCATTAAGTTTACCTGACATAATAAACAATAATTAAATATTAAAGAACGTTCATTAAACTCCTTTTTTAATGATAGCTAAAAGCTAGAAAAAATTACCACTGGTGTTATCTTTAAAATATTTAGGGGGGGGGGACAGAATCATCTGCAGTTTCTCTCTCTCCCAAAGTAATTGAAGTTTCTCTCTCTATATGTCTCTCCCAAAGTAATTGAAATTTTTCTCTCTCTCTCTCATGTCTCTCCCAAAGGAATTTAAATTTTTTTCTCTCTCTCTATGTATCTCCTAAAGGAATTTAATTTTTGAACGATTTTTAGGATAGTGGCTAAAATTTCCCTTTTCACCCTCTGTCCAAATTTCAGGATGTACACAAACTGTTGAGTCATTAGAAAGACTCAAATCGATAAACTCTTCATTTTATTAATATAAATTAAGTATGTTAAAGTTAAGCAATTATTAAACTGATTTTTTTATGGATTTTTTCATAGAATGCAAATATTTTGTTTTAATGTTCGTGTTTTTCTAATCAAAATTTGTCAAAAACATGCGGCAAGGTTTAAACTTTTCTTTTGAATAGACATAACTATTATTATTATATTAAACTTTTTACTTATTACTAAACTATATTATTAATTGATGTGTAAATTTTAATAATTAACTACAATTATTAGAATCTGTTGATTATAGTTGAGTTGAATTTCCTTGTTTTAAACACTTTATTTAATTGAATCTTTTATTATTTTCTTTACATTCTTTTAGAGTTTGCTAATATTGGTTTAATGTTGTAGATTAAAAGTAATATTAAATGCATGCTTTTGTAGATAAAAATTTTATGGTTATCTATTCAGTTATACAATATTGAATCATTAAACACTTTATAAAATTTGTTTGAAGCCTACAAACTTTGTGAATTCGTTTTTTGGCCATCTTTTGTATTAATAAGAACCAGGCTTCTTATGTTTAAAACAATGAATAAAAAGCATAATGTCATTTTATATAAACATAAGGTGTTGTATGCTATTTCTTAAAAAATTTTCTAATCCCATACCTGCCAACTCTACTGGATTTACCTATAGACTGCTGGATTTTGCCAATTTTTCCTGGTTTTTGTACATTTTAGAAAATTCCCTAAAATTGATCAAGTTTTCAAAAAAGAATCCCTATTAAAATAGAATTTTTACAATGCTTGAATATTTAAATAAGTATTACAAATACATGATGAAGTGAGCCCCACATTAGTAATCACTTTAAAGCTTTTCTTTCTTTAATTTTATTTGTTCTAATTTTAAAGAATTAATAATTTAGAGGCTTTTGATACTTTCTGTAATTACCAGGTATTCAACTCACAAGAGCACATCATTGTTTAACTTCATTTAATTGAGATTCTATTGTATTTTTTTTAATTATTTTTTTACAGTGTTGCATCCTCTCTTCTTCACATAGGCTTCAATAGTTGCAATTACCTTAAATAACTTTAATATTTTAATTTTGATAACATTCTTTTTTTCTTTCAAAAAAAGTTTATATTTTCAACTTATTTATTTGTTCATATTTCTATTGAAATTATTATCACTCCTTTATATTTATTTATTGTTTGAAGATATAATCTTTGTGATGACTTCATACAAGATCAAAGTTTATCAGAAATAGAACAGAAAAACATTCCGCTATTTCTTGTTTTAAGAAAGTGGATTGACATCGACACTTCAGGAGAATTCAGATGTTTCGTTAAAGAAAATAAACTTATTGGTAAATAAAAATCTTTTTTAATACCTCTGTTTTAAGAATTTAAAGATGATATATTTGTTTAAAATAAATAATCCCAAGAAACTGAAACAGTCATACATAAATAGCAAATAATAGGCAACATGTTTCAAGCGCTTAAAAACAGACATCGAGCACTTAAAAACAGACATCAAGCACCTAAAAACAGGCATCGATTTTTGAGCGCCTGAAACATGTCAACTGTCATTTCCTATTTATACATTTTTGAAGAGAAGGAAGTTTTTAATCAAGTAATTCATTTGTTTGTTTATTGTGCTTATAAAATTGAAACATACATTTCTTTGTTTCACGCAAAAATTTTTTAATTTAAATAGTTAATTGTTTTGTTATAATAGTTTTCTTTGTTTTAAATAGTTCATTTTAATTTTATTTTTTACACATTTTCTCCTTTTCTTTATTATTAATTTGTGTCGCCGATTTTTATAAGTCATAAAAATCTGTTATAATTATCTAAAATCTATTTTTAAGCATTGCTTATTAATTTTATTTATGATAGTGCGGAATCGTAAATGAAAATTAAATTTAATTTACTATTAAAGATTATATTTGGGTTAAGAAATGTTTAGATTATAGTGTTACACTACTGTTTCATTTATATTTGTTATATATGCTGTATTGAATTTCCCATTAAAATAATAAAAGGGAATACTCAATATTAATATGAAATAATTTCAGGTGTTTGTCAACGAGAACATAGTGCTTTCTTTGAGCATATAAATTTACATAAGGCAGAAATACTGGAAGATCTTGTGACATTTTTTACTGAGAAAGTACAGTTTAAATTTCCTCTGCCAAATTGTGAGTTTTTTTTTTAATTGTAATTTTTTTTGTTGAATTTATTACACAGAACACTACTACATTATTACTACTACACTATTACATTTATTACACTATTTATGATACAGAAATTTTACAAACTTTTTAATTTTAAATCTTGTGAGCTAAGTTAAAAAAAATTCATTAAATTTTATCACTGATTATCATTATGCTCTTGCATTAGGTGTTTATTCTTTAGTTCTTTTTTTTCATAAAAAAATTAAGAGATGGATTAAATGTCTTAAAATAAATAAGTTGTCACATTTACACTTAATGTAATGTGACAATTTAATTTCGAATTTTACCTAAGCCTTTAATTTTTCTTTAAACGTTTTCCCTTTTCTTCAATTTAGCAATTTTAACTTTCTTGTTGACCTTTCTCATGGTCATTGCGGTCATCGCACTTCCTGTGGGGAAAGTCAACCAACCCCTCTANTTTACTTGTTTCAGATATTTATGATGTTTATCGGAAGAAAAAGGTATGCAAATTATGTCTCTTTTTTATCGCAAAACTTTAATTAAAAAATGTAAATGAAAGATAAAGCTACAAATATTGAGAACATTAGTTACTTAAATAATTATTAGATAGATTTAAGAAATTGATTTAAGTTTTTTCTTCTTGCATTTCTCACTGTTCTAAATCATTTGTTACATTATTTTATCATTATATTTTTGTATTATTTTATTAATGCCTGTGTGTTGTAGATATTAAGTAAATTGTTTTGTTTTGATTATGCATTTATTAAACAAAAATAATATAAGAAAAACTATTTACACAAAGAAAAATAATGTGGTTACTGCAATAGCAGTACATAATGAAGATCAATTCATGAGAGAGCTAGTAATACCCAACTTTCTAATTTGAAGGTTTTTAAAGTAACGGCCTTGATTTTCTGACAGTGATGTGAAGTGGGCGAGTGCAAGCGGGGTTAAACATTTAGGCGTGTATTTTTCGATTCTAATGATATCTAAATTTACTTCATAATATGACAGAAGTTTTATAATCTAATTTATATGACCATTTCGGTACAAATATTACATATATGGTTTATTTACGGTATTTGCCACTGAAGTGACATTGACTAATTTCAAGTTAATAATAATACAGTGGTAATCATAAATTTTTTAAAAAAAAATCTATGAAATTTATTTCTCATGACATTATTAATAAATTCGGATGTTTATAGAAATAATATTTCTTTATTAGGTTATTGAATGGCTTAGGGATTGTGGCAAGTTAGAATAAGTTATTAAAAAACTACTGAAAGAATGATTTTATCTTGCTTTTAAATAAATTTGAAATAATATTTTTTTATTTTCTTTCTTAGTAGTGATAAAAAAAATTAATAATCAAGAGTCATTTTTGTATAAATGCTGAAAAAAAGTCATAAAAATGCATGAGAAAAATAGCTTTAATGTTGATTATTGACTGACTTGGCAACTATGACAATTTTAAAATGAGTTACTTTAGATTGATGTAAGATTGATGATGACGTAAGATCGATGTACTAAGATTAATGTTTTAAGATTGATGATGATGTAAGATTGATGTGCTAAGATTAATGTTTTAAATGTATTTTATAGGATAAAGTTATATTGATCGACTTCAATCCTTTTGGAAAAGTTACAGATTCCTTACTATTTACTTGGGAAGAACTAAATTCTGATCTTACCTCAGTTGATGAAAATGATGTAGGTGATTTTAAAACTGTGTCTAAAGTCTGATATGTATTCATAACAGGGCTCCCACTGGCAGGGAAAACCTGGAATTGTCACAGAATTTTATTTTAACTCCATTAAGCAGGGAAAGAGGATTTTTTATTTGAAAAAAAAAAACTTGAAAATTTCTATATTATACCTGCAAAATAACCAGTCTTTGAATTTTCAGTAACAGTAATCAGTTATTGAGATTCGAGTTAAATAGTTTTAACATCTATTAAAATTATCTTATAAAATTCCATGTTTCTATTCTTAATCTATCATGTGAATATTTTACTTTGCAAATAAAAAAAATTCTGATTGAAATTTGCATGGTATAGATAAAATATTGTCTGGATTTTCATTGAAATCTTCCTGATATACCTGGACAAGTCAGGCAATTTTTTTTCTGAAATTGAGTGTGAACCCTATTATAATATAGATAACATTATTTTTTCTCCATCTTCATCTGGTTCCCAACTAGTGCTGATCAACATTGTGATTATTAAGAATATGTTAGGAAATATTGATGTTTCACAATCAATAACTAGTAGAACTTCTATGCTGCTGTTATAGTTAAGATATGATACAACCACTAGAAACAAAGGTGTAGGAAATTTCAATATCCTTGATTGCGCTATTTTTTTTTTTTTTTTTTTTTTTTTTTTTTTTTTTTTTTTTTTTGCTGATCTTTCAGCTATCAAAAATTAAATTAAAAGCAGGAGAACCAGTCTCGTCCAAAATGTATTCTGAAATTGTGCAACAATCTAAAATCACATGCTCAACCCAATATTTGCACAAATGATAATTGAAATACTTTGATTATTTTCAAATAAATATCTGATGGTTTTTTTAACCTCTAAATCATCTACTAAGTAGTACAGTCATGTCTACTAAAAGGGGCACTTAAAATATTGTCAAAGCACGCATAGAATGCAACATTACAGTATGTATGTTTATGTTTGATTTTTTTTTTAAACAATTTATTTATTTATTGAACAACAACTCTCATTGAAAAATAGAAGATAAAATCTATTTTTAAAATAGAAAAAAATAATAGAGGCCCAATTTTATTATTTCCATATCATATAAATAGTTTGATTCTTGTCATTCTTTTCTGAAATCTAAGTGCTATTATTGTTGGTTATAATCTCCAGTCAATCAGGGCTTGATTTATCATGAAGCCCAGGGGCCCTCACATATCTGGAGGCCCCGGAAAACTTTAAATATTTTTTGTGTGTGTTTTTACATAAGAATTGTCTATTAGAATTATGAGTTAACAAAAACTGAAATAAATATATGTGCAAATTTACTAATAAAGCATAATTTACTTAAGTTGTAACTGGTTTAAAGGCATTTTCCAGTGAATAACAAACAAATTTAAGGACCATTAAGGCCAGTTCTGTGCCTAGGGTCTCCGGATTTCTAAATCATGCCCTGCAAATAATAAAGATTTTGTTGATCTATTTTAGGAATATCCTGAGTTTAGATGCGTAGAAGATAATTATGGGGTACAACCTAGAACACTGAGTAGTTACGCTGTCCCCACAGACATTATAGACATAAGCACAGGAGAAGATAGTTTTAAACTTGTAGATTTGATGAAGCTAGTAAGTATTCTCTCTGCTAATTTTAATAATGCATTTTTTATACTCGAATTATTTGCTGCTTTTTTTTGTTTAAGTTTATTAGGTTCTAAAATTATATACAAATGTACAATACACAGTATAAATAACTTAACACCTGAGTAACTTTGGGTATAGTGATCCAATTCCCACGATCATAATCATAAGATGTAATCTTATTGGTCCAAGGGTCTTATTTTAAATATGATGCTTAAACTTCGCAGAGTATTGAGTTATACAATTAAATATGAAGGAGTATTAAGTTATGAAGTCAGACCAAAAAAAATGTACTATTTGTGAAAACACATACTTTGTTTTGACAGATTTGGATTTTTGATTTTTAAAATGGGAGGGAGTTACTGCTATCTGAAAAATATGGTCCCAATATTTTAATCAGAAGACAGTGCAAAATTTGGAAAGTCTGAATATTAATTTCACTTTTTGCATAGTTAGTAACATCGATAGAACTATTTAAACAACTAAAAAATCGGATTGAACACAATTTAAAAACTTGTTTATGCAATGATAATTTCATGCAAAATATAATTTAAAATTATTTATTATTTTTATTTATTTTAATAACAATAAAAAATTCTTTGAATTATAAGATATGTAAATTTTACCTCATTTTAAACTGTGTTTTTTTAAAATGATGAAATACAAAAAGTTAAGGAAATTGGTTACATAGTTTCTAAGAAAAGAAATTAAAATAAGAAGTATTTTTATAATTTATCATTCAAAGCTGTAAACTTCCAAGTAGTATAAATATTTGTGTACCTTTCAAATGATTCTAAATTAATTAAGAAAAAATAATAATCAATCAGTAAAAGTTGTTTTTTATAATGATGAGTATAATTCCAACATATATTACAATTATTTGTTTTATAAATTTCACATTTTAGTCACACTGACATGTTTCCATCCTCATTCAATGATATGTTTTTACTCACAAAATCTGATATTTGGCAGAGTATAACAAATAAACAAAAATTAAGTTTTCCGTTGAAATTATTGCACATGGTATTGATTAGATATGATCTGGATTTTTGTTAAAAATTTACTTGATGTACCTAGAAAAGTCAGGGAATTTTTTTTCTGAAATTGAGCAGGAATCCTGTTTAAGCTTAAATTTTTGCTGCTGTTTTATCATAAAATTTTATTAATTACTTAATTTTTTTTAAGTCTAAATTTTCTGGTGAGTGTTATTTCATAGTGTTGTATTTGAGAACTAACATTAAATTAAATGAACCTCCTGCTAAGAAGTAATAAATTAGACAAATTACATCTTTCTGTTCCTAATTCCTTTCAATAATTGAGAATGATATGAACTATGACTCTGCTGTAACGAACTTTATTTTAAGCTGCAATAATTTAAAAATCTTATTATGTCAAAAAAAATATTGTCTGAAGTTTAAATCAACTTTTTTATTGTAAACAAATAAATGATTTGCTTTAAACATGAACAGATCTGAACACATATTTCCCAAATTGTACGACAACTGCACATGATAAGGTTTTGTATCCATGATACCCACCATCGAAACCTTACTCAAGTTTTAAAATTAACATTTTATTATAAAAAATTTTAAAAATTCAGTTGCAAAAATAAAACATGCATGCTATAGAATGATTTATCTGTATATTTAAAGTAAAGTTACTTAATAATAATTAATTTATTGTATATTTCAGAAAATAGAAGCACAAAATGAATCATCTGATGATGAAAACAATGCTGAAAGTAATGGAACTCAAAATGAATAAGTATTTTTGTAAAATATGTAAAATAAATTTTATATTAAATATACTATTTAATCAAAGTTGTAATATCAGTTCGTTAACTGTTATAGTTATTAAGGACTACATAGGATGTCGACTGATGCGGATGTTCAATAATTTCCCCATGTTTTAATTCCTATTGATAAAAAAATTCTTATACTTTCGTGTCCATGATTTCAATTTTAAAAGTAATCTGCTACTTCAGAAGAGAAAAGTTATGAGACCACTCATTAAACACATTTTACTCTCCAACTGTCAAACTCCTCCAGCCTACAGACAATTCATTTTGGTATCTTATAGCAGATGAGCTCCAACTTTAACTCCGAGGAAGTATTTCCTAAGTGGCAGTGAAAGACTGATTAAAATGCAATTGTACATAAAATTAGCTTTTTACAATTTCTATGACTTAGCTCATTTTCATTTCTATAATTTGCTCTTATAATAAGATTGATTTATTTGCAATTAGTGGTAATCAAATTAAATTTATAAATCCAAGAATTTAAAAAAAGTATAAGATTTATTACCGCTTTGAATATAAAAATGAAGATACTACTAAAAATGAAATGTTACTATTACATATTCTATATGTGGTGTGCCTCCCCCCCCCCCCCCCCCCCCCNCCCCCCCCCCCCGACGGCTTGAAAAGCCAAATTTTCTCGTATTGATTTAATAGAGTTTTGGATGTCTACTATCATGTCATAAGCCACAAAACCTTAAGGGTTCTCACTCCTTGTGCAAATCTGAAATTTCTGCAGTTGCTGTTCTAAAATGCAAATATTGTTCAAATAAATGTGAGTAGCTCTATAAAGCATTATCCTACCATTTAAAAAGTTATGCTATTAGCTGCAAACTAACCCATCATTTATAATGAATTTTCAATACCCTTGTGTGTGAATAGTTATTCCTTTTACTATATTAATACTTACAATATTATTATGAATATATTATTTGTACTTAAGTGAATTTAAAGTATGAGTTGTATTGACAATATTTATATTTTCACCATTTACTTCCATAGTTTCTGTTTCATAGTCTCACTCATATAAAACGTATAATATAACATTTATTATTTAATAATGTATGCATATAATAAATGTTATAATCTATGTTTATAATAAATGTTTAAATAGCAATAGAGACCTTGAGACATATCTAAAATGAAAAATTAAATTATAACAATAGTTTTTTATGTTTAAATTATTTTTCACTATGTTTGAATTTAACCAGTAATAATATTTTTTTAATCCCCTGAGCTCCATGCTGAATAATGCTTAAATATTGTGTGTTATGACAAAAATCTAGATTACTACAAAAAAAGCGTAGCTACAACTCAAAGCTTTTAAAATTGTTTCATTCTAAAACTAGAAATATGATAAGAGGAATTAATAAATTATCACCTTGAAACATATCTAAAACAATATTATAATATTTATTTAACTGCTAGGCTTAAATACAATGGAATGCAGTGAAAGCTATGTACAGCACTTTCTAAAACAACTGGTAAATCTTAACAGTGTTGAACATATTATTGATAATTCAACCAACAAATTTTAATAAATTTCTATATTTTAGAAATTGTGCAGCAATTAAAACTGTTTTCAATTTTAATACTTTAGCTATGAAACATTATTTAGTTGAATATTAAAAGAACAAAAGTAAAAAAAAAAAAGCTTTTCAATATGTACTTGTATTTATTTACACTTTTGAACTTGTTAAATATTTCTAAACTTTCACACAAAACTTTAAATTACATTTTGTACAATCAACATACAACAATAATATACTCCATTCATGCAATTATATGAAATAAATAATGTTTCCTAAATGATCACATTTTACGATGGCAAAGATGATGACATATTTTAAAATACATATGAAATAAGGAACATGCAAAGATGGTCGTTTATAGTTAATCTATGATATGTGTTCTAATAGTACTCTAACACATTAATGCACATACTCTCATACTCTAATAAAAATTTGCAAAGCAAAAATTACAGTGTAAGAATTTTAAGCAAATCTAAAGTCCTATTTGACAATGAATTAATTGTGCAGTGAATTTCTTTCTTTTTTGAATAAAACTATAGTGTGGTGAAAGATTTTTTTTCATGTGTTTAAATTGTATTCAAAAAATTACATTTTAACCATTTTGACAAAAATAAACTTTTCATTATTGTTGAAAAAGAATGGAATTGTTGTTTATTTTATGTTGAGATTATTTCTAGTTGAAATAGGGTAAAATTGAGGAAAAATGTTTTTTCTTATCTTATAAGATGAAATTTAAACTGCAAAAATATTATTTAAAAAAATTAATTTAAGGAGAGAAAAAACTTTACTGTTGAAGTAAATAAATAAAATTGTTTATTTGATACTGATTTCAAGTTGAAAAAATAAAATTGTTTTCAATATCTTTTAAAAGGAAATTTAGATTAGAAAAATACATTTTTGATTTATTACTTCACTCAAAGATTAATTGGCAAAAGAAATTGAATCGAAGTTTGTTTATTTTATTTTGAGAACATTGAAGTTGTAATTGAAAATTGAAGAAAAATATTTTCCATTATCATTTAAGAAGAAATTCAGGCTAGAAAAATATTTTATTTTTGATTTATTACTATACTTAAAAATTTATATGCAATTTATTCTCTAAACTTGAACAAATTTCTCATACTACATTAAAAAGATAATAAAGATAGACAAAAAAATATCATATTCATATCATTAAAATCTCTAAATGATACTTGATATGTATTCATTTCCATTCCTTTGAATTGATTTAGCAAAATAAAGTTAAATTATGATTTTTAATTTCCATTAAAAAGGCAATAAAAAAATAAACAAAATTACCATAATTTAATTATTTCTTTTTGCCTAAAGCGCATGAACAAATCAATTTAAAGAACTTTTATAATTATATATGTTATTGTTTTTATAATTTCGCAAAACATTATTTTACTTCTATGATTTGCAGCACCAGTAATTGTAAGAAAAATTGTAAATTATATTTTTTCGACTTTATTTAATGCTTGTGTTAAAAATTAGAATTTATTTTATAATTTTACAGTGTTCTCCCTAAGCATTTTTAAAAGGGTATCTCATCCTTTTAATCCCTGTAAATGCGCCCTTTTTGTGAAGATAGGCCACTATTCTTTAATAACACTGCTTTTTTATTCAGATTTCATTTTTAAGAAAAATTATTCAACTGTTAGAATAATAATTGCATACAAAATTTATCATTGTTTATAGGTTTAATTCTGATTGCAATTACAAATATTTACTTTTTTAGGATTATTCTCAATTGGTTAAATATTTATAGGTTCTTCTATTTTTAAGAAAGGTATATTAATAAATTTTTAAGTGATTTTAAAATTATTTTGAAATGAAAACCTTTTTTTAAAAAATATGCACCTTTAAATGTTTATATAATTTTCAGTATAAATTATAGAAAAATCTTTCGAGCTGTTTATCAAAAAAAAATTTTTTAGTTTACTTTTTTTTTAAAAATTTATGCCTTAATTCTAAGGCTTTAATTATTATTCATAAACTACAAATTTTTCTCCTCTTTAGATAATGAGGGAAAATTATTTTTTGAAATGTACGCATAAAATAGTATAAGAATTGAAAATCAAATTCAGTTTATAATATTACACATTTTGATAGATTTTTACAGTGTTAAGTGAGTGCCCTTCCAAAACTCAAAGTGCCGTTTCTGCGAGGAAGTTTTTTTTATTCCCAGGGAGAACTCTGTGTTTATACTATGTATTTTCAAATCCTTAAAATATATTTTATTTAGATTTTAAATGTAAATACATTATGCTATTTATTATTATATATTCAGTGACCAATACAGAGATACTTATTTTATTTTTTTTATTTGATGCACAATTGTGCTTTAAACACTTTAAAAAGAGTTAACATTTAAAATAACTATGATAAATTATTCAATATTTTCAACAATTAGTAGACATTTAGCAGACAACTGATTCAATTAACAATTAATACCTATCTAGTACTAAAAATGTCCACCTCAAACTGTACATCTTTCGACACACATAATTTTTCATTTAATTATATTGAAAGACTATCTTAAAATCTCAACCAGCAAAATGAAATATTGAACTACTGTTAAATTTACCACATTGAAAAATAAAATTTTAAGCATTTAAATTAAGCTTATTAAACATTAAACAACATATATTCCAGTACATTTATAACAATTTCATATTTAACTTTATTACAAAAATAATGATTTATGAATGCATAAATAACTATTTAAATTGAAATTAATAAAAGTATCATAAACTATTCATGTTCAGCTAAATTAAAATATAAACACTATTAAATTATTGCTGTAGAAAATAAACTGATGATCATCTCAATATTTTACTATTTCAATGAGAACCTACAAGAAATAGAAGACTTGAAAAGTGTACACACTTACACTACATTATTTAATGTTTTTACAATATTGTTATAGCACTCACAAATTATCATGTCTCTTTCAAATAACCAAAAAGTTGTTACACCAACTTTATATCTATCAACAATGAAAACTATTAAAAATTGAGATTTAATAGATGCAAGCTATGCAATCTCTATTTCATTATAGTATCATTTATTGTTTCTTAGCCCTGATGAATGCTGATTTATTCATTTTTAAAATTATTTCATCTACTTGCCTGTTGAATAATTAACATCTACACCACTTTGTCTTATGTATTTAATACTCAGTAATGAGGGAAAGATTTATTTTAAGAATTATTAAATTACTTAAATACTTGCAATAAAGTTACGATTTTAATACCATAATCGTATTCAAATTACCTGATGTATAATTAAAATCTATATTTTACTTTTCTATATGCATTTAATGTTCATTAGTGAAGGAATTATTATTTTAAAAAATAGCATCAAAGTTATTTTTATAATATCAGAACCATTTTTTAATTATTTGATGAATAATTAGTACACACAACTCTCTTATATATATTTAATACTCATTAGTGAATGAATTATTTTAAATATTAACGATAAATTATTTGAAAAATAACATTAAAAATACAATTTTAACCAAGTCTTAATTTTCTTTTACCTTTGATTTCTCACCACCATTGCCATTAAATGCAGAATATCTGCCTTGTGATTGGTCAAAAATAGTTCGTGCAAACTTAACCTTTAAAGTCAAGATGTCACCCAACAAAAAAGCGTTAAAAATGTTACAGCTGAGTGAGAAAACAGTACATTTCCTTTTTAATCAATCGAGCGGAAACTAGTACTGTGATCGAATTTTGTTTCAGTTGCATTAACGTCTTATTTAGAATATTATAGTCTTAGATTTTATCTTAAAACTTTAGCTTTTCATTTTTAATTATATAGTACAAATATATGACAAATAGTCTAATATATATTAGAATAATACATAGGAGGAATCTTTGGTTATAAACATTCTGTTTACCTAATTTATATTTTGAAAATCTGACTAGTGCATATATTTGTTAGAAGTCACACACATTATAAAATGTTAAAAAATATATTTGGTCAATTGTTAAATGTCAAAAATCGAATCTATAAAAATATGACTAGAACTGGAAACAAATATTAAAAAAGTGATGAAACAGACTAGACTGTTGTATGCAGTATTTGAAAAAAACAAATATAATTAATCAATGTTAATACAATTAATAAATAGAGTTAATAATTAATTAATAATGAACTTATTTTACATATTGCTTGAAAAATAAAGTTATACTTTATAAACTTTTGATACTTTTAGAACAATTATATATCTTTACCCTAAACATACTACACATTTTATAGTTTATGATGTTTAGAGATTTATATAAAATGATTTGAGGTTTAATGTTTATCAATACAGTAAAAAAACTTTAAAGTGAAACCTAAAAAATAATTTTGATAGTTCAAATATGTAAAAATGTTACTTATAAATAAAACTAAGGTTATATAATGAAGCTATTAGAAAAATAAATATAAAAATTGAATTGAGATTCGATAAGCAAGAATGCTGTTTTACTGCAAATATTCAGTTTTCTGCAATTTAAACATTTGCATTGTAGTAAGAAAAATAAATAAAATACATAATTTGTTACTTTAAATAGCTAATATTAATACTTGCAATGTAATTTCTTGGGCATTCAAGTTCAATCACAACATTGCAGTTTTTGCTAAATTTCATTAGGTAAATAACACGCACAGCAACAATTACAAATAACTTAGTTATGAATCACTTAAATATACAAAAAAATTAACGATTTATACACTTATGTAAACTATCCACAGTTTAAAAAATATGGCACAAAATAATTTGAAATATAAAATTGCAGGCTTAAAAAGCAAACGCTGTATGCAGAGATCAAGGAAAGCAATAAAATAAATAGCTTTTAAGAGTCTTCTTTCTTTGTGGTCACAGACACACACACATTTTAGGAGAGCCCAAATAAAAGCTGCAGTAATTTGAATAAAACCAGTGTTATATTATCATTTACTAATAAAAGATACCAATTAATAACGAATGTTAATAATAAATGCTACCTACTGAAACTCATTAAATTATACATCATTTAATCCTCTCCAGATTACATATTCAGGGACCCCCACCAGGGGGGAAGGTGGGCACAGGATGCGCCCACTTAAAGCTTGGGGGGGAATTTTTACACTAAATAAAACGAATAGTTTGGGGGGGAATTTAGAATTTGCCCAAGAATGCGCCCAAAAGCTTGGGGGGTGGGGGCCACTGCACATATTTGAATTGATGAATTCATAAATAGGCCATCGACAGTAGTTTCGGAGCAAATTGGTACACATGCATTTATAAAATCAAATCATGACACATATTTTGAAGACTAAATTCATTACATCAAAATCCAATAAATTACGGAAAACAAGTCTGTTAAAAAAAAAAAGAATATGTAGCATAAGTGCTGAAGAATAAAATCAAAGTTAAACCTGGAAAAGTGCTAAAACAGCGTAAGCCCAAAATGTGTCTTCCAATAGATTTAAAAATAAGACAATTAGATTTAAAAATAAGAAAGTTAAACTCAAATTGAAATTTAAAAATGAAGGGAAAGAAACATATTGGAGCACATATAACACTCAACGGTAATATATAGAAAAGCTCCGACTTAAATGCATTTATGTTCATTTAATTTTTATATTTCAATTTAAAGGTAGTTTTTGTATTTTTAAACCAATTTACTACAAATGTAATATTTGTATTTTTAAATCAATTTACTATGTTAATTCATAATTTAAATCTCTTATTATTCTCAATTGGGAAGATATGTTTTTTATAACTTATTTTTAAAATCTTTTTAAGAAACTAATAGTACTAATGTAGACCAGCAGTATAGCCAGTATTCATTTTAAGAGAGCCCCGGAACTTATAAGGTATAAAGTTGAAAAATTGATACATAATGAAACCTGTCAAGTTGACCGTTTGTCTAAGTTGAGCTCTGCTTCCAAGAACTGAATTTAGCTTATATAATAAAAGGGAGAAAAGCCTTTGTAAACTAAACACCAATTTTGTTTAGCAGAGATATTGAATGTTATACTAAACCCTTTATAAGTTAAGTTGGGTGAGGAAAGAAAAGTTCGTGTTTTTACTGATTGGTTAAATAGTATAAAAAGCTAATCTAACCCCCTTAATAAGTTGACCAAGTGAAGAAACTACTTATAATAGACTTTTGCATAAAAAGACACCAAAAGAGTAAAACAAAATGAATTTTTAAAGTTAGTAATGAATATAGAGTTAAGTTTTCTAATTATGTACGTTTTTGTGTACACAAAAACGTGCATAGGATATTGTAAAAGGATGCATAGATATTGTAAAAGGTTATTTTTATTAAGTAGCTGGAACACAGCACTAAAAAATATGCTTATTTGTTAAGATGGATTAGGTATTTGCTAAAAATATTAATTACATTTATATACATATTGATTGGTAACTAATATAAAAATTAAATCACATACGAAATTACAAAAAAAAATGACTCAAACTCCCTCAATAAGTTAAATACTAAAGCAACGCACCATAAATGGTCAACTTACTCAAGTTTCACTATATTTTTATTGTACTCACTCATTTTGGAGTAGGTAAATGAGTAATTTCTAGTGTGGGGAAATATGTTAACTCCCTGGTTACACACCAGAAGTAAACTAAAGTAATTCTGGCAGTTTTCATCCTCAATGAATCAAAATACTGCACCAATTATTTAGCCTTCTCCTGAACAGATCTGCACCTTTGAATATGGCACCAGTGGCAAGTGGTATCAGAGCACTATGCAATTGCACAAATTAATTTATCTAGAGTAGTTCATGGCAGTTTATACAAAACTTCTTCTCCAATCGAAGACAAGAAGACAAAAGGGATGCTCTAGCTCAGAGGGGTTGGTCAATGAGGCAGAAGATTAGGAAGCAAGGCTGAGGAGTCGCAGCTTTCTGGAAGACGAGATCAGAGAGAGTAGAGGTGATGGCTTGCACAGCTCTTTTTTTTTCTTGTATCGCTAATACCCTGAGCAGACGCTTTGGAAGCATTGTTCTGTGGACAAGGGGGAAAAAGTTACTCCTTTGAAAAAAAGTTCATGATCAAATACAATGAATTAAAAATATAAAAAAAATTAAGTATAAAAGGATGAATAATAGGTTTAAAAAAATTGCTCCCAATTTAGAATGAAATGTTTTACCGTGGTATTCCTTTCGAATATGTGGTTTTAAGTTGAAAAACTAGTTTTCTTGGACTTCATAACTTTTATTATATGGATCTTGTAGCTCATACTATATATACAGGTTAGTATTCCTATCAAAATGGTTGGTTAAGGCGTTGCTTACTCTGATATTGGAAAGCCGGGACCACATTGTCTGACTGGGGTTAAAATTATGTTCCATTCCTGCCGCTGTTTAAATATAAAATCCTGAAAAACAGAACTAGCTGCTTGGCCATGGTTGGGTGGAATGTACAAGAGTCGTGCTTGTCTTGATAAACCAGACCTATACATAATTTTGTAATTGCCACTCTTGGTATTTAATAATGATTTTGTGTGTTCTTTGAATAATTCACATAGTGTTCAAGTTTTATAAATATGTGTATATATATATATATATCTTATAAACTTTATAAACTCATTTTAATTTTGTGAGTTTAAATTGAATATCTAATTTTCTAGAATTAAGTTGCACAACTTTATAATACGTAATACTAAGAGATTTTTTCTATACTGTACTAAAACTCAAGCATTTTTTAACATTAATAAATTTTTTTACATGTATAAACGAAAAAATATAATGGATTTGAAAATAAAAATTTCTAAATAATCTCAGAACCTTAATGATCATATTTTGAAATTATATATATATATAGTATATATATACAGGTGATTATCAAAATAATGGAAACACTTGTGAATAAAAGGGACATTTAAGAATTCGCTTCACAAGCATTAAAATATAATCTTAGCTACCAGTTTTTTTTAACATAAAAAGTACATATATTAGACGGTATGCGAGAGCTTTAGCAGAGTTGTCTACGTTTTGATTTTTTGTCAGAAGCGTAAAATGTCAGACCTCACAGATTTTCAGAGCAGCCAAATTGTAGGAGCCCGACTAGTTGGAGCAACAGTGACCGAAACATCCCAGCTTTTAGGCGTTTCTAGAGGTACGGTGTCTAAAGTCCTGACAGCATACACACAGCGCGGAAAGACAAGCTCAGAAAAGCAAAATAGTGGACGGAAGGAGAAGCTGAGTGAAAGAGACCGACGGGTATTGAAGCGGATTGTAATGTCTAAAAAGAAAACAACTGCAGAGAAAGTGACCGCAGAGCTCAATCAGCATCTGGATTCTCCAGTGTCAACAATTACAGTTAGGAGATACCTTCATAAAGAGAACATTTACGGCCATATTAATAAAGGATTCCTTCAAAATGTAGGGTGTTTCCATTATTTTGATAACCACCTGTATATATATATTAAGTTCTTACTACTGGATAAAAAAACTAAAATAGGAAAAAAAAGTAAAGAGTCAATAAGATAAAGAGGCAATTTCTTCTTAGGCACTACAGCCGGTTACCGGCCAAAGCCGTCTCAGTCAATTTACTCTATCTAGATCTATCTGATGCTGTATTTCTTCACCTACTAACTCCCAAGTCCTTTAACCACTTTTCTACTTTATCTAACCATCTTTTTCAAGGATCTTTTCTTTTTCCCTCTCGTGTTTGGAAGGTTATTTTTTTTCAAAAAAGGATTTTCATCGCGATATTGAAATACATGTCCTAGCTACCCTATTTGAGAACCATTTTTACTATGTTAGGTTCTTTGTACTTAGATAATAATTCATGGTTGTAACGAATTCTCCAGGTTCCGTTCTCTCTTATTGCACCAAAACATTTTCTTAATATTTTTCTCTTGAAAGTCACCAGTTTCTTTTTGTCAGCATTGTTAATTGCTCAGCATTCGCTACCATATAAAACTATTGGTTTCACTAGTGTCTTGTACAACTGTAGTTTTGAACTGATGGTTTTTCAATCAATGATATCAACTGTTAGTCATGTTGATTCTATTTTTGATTTCAATTTTAATGTCATTATTATTGTTTACTATTGCACCTAAATAATTAAATTGAGTCATTTGTTCAAACTTGATTCTGTTTGTTATTACTATGAATTTAGTTTTTTCCTCGAAAAAGACAATTTAAATATGCTTAAATAAACTTAATTGATATAAAAGCAATTTTAATATGGAATTCAGAAAAAAAGAATTACCAGTGAAATATGTTTCCATTGATACACAGGGCATTTTATGTTATAAGTATTATATTTCCTTTCACTTTTTTATTAATTTATTTTTTATTACTATTTTATTCAATACAGTTATACTCATTTTTCTATCGCTAATTATAATGTATAACTTAATGGACAGTTACAAACATAAAAAGCAATCACGCAAATTATATATCACTTTGATGCATGTATGAATAAAATTCTCTTATAATAAGTCATGTTTTAAAATCTTACTTGCGCTTAAGATTAGGATACTGATCGCAATCCATCTTCTTCAGCATCCTAAAATTAAAACTGAAAATTAAAAAAAAAAATTTCTGATGTTTTTTTACTTTCAATTTTCATAGTACCTAATATTAATAAACAACATAACATAATAATGTGATTGAATAGTTTGAATAATAATGTTATTCTTAATGCATAATGGCTAAATTCTTCAAACTTAAATACACCTCAGATGCAAGGGCTTCTTAGAAAATAAATTATGTTAAGATGGGGCATGAATTTATTATAAAAACTTTTCCTACCCTCATTGCATTATTCAGTAAGTTGTTCCAGAATTTGAACAATGGTTGTATTTTTTTTTTCTTTCTGATAATTTTTAAAATGTGAACTGCTGTTAAATATCCTGCTAATTGTGCAACATGGGAGCCACAACGGTTCAGGGCATAGCACGTTCTTCCTCCAACAAGGTGGCCCAGGTTCAAATCTCAGCAATGGCTGGTCAATACCGATTCTGCTCCCAGGTCGCACCAACCACACTGGCATAAAATATCCTTAGTGTTAGACAGATCATGGATTAAATTTTCTTTGTCATTAGGCTAACCGTGAGTGGGGTTTTGTTGTTTTCCTCTTCATGCAATGCAAATACAGGTTAATTCCATTCAAATGTCCTCCATGAAGGCTAGTTTCTCCAAGTGTTTGTCAGTGATTGATTCCCCTTGTTTTTTTTGGTCGAATTAAAAATTAAAAGGCTACAACTTGGGTTGGCTATTTTGATTATAAAATAAAATTGTGCAGTATAGTAAGTAATTTTGCTTGCAAAAACTATATAAATTTTATCTGCTTATTTTTAAAACTTGTGAAAATAATTAATAAAACTAGTTTCAATTATTAAAATTAATAAAATGAATTAATAAAATGAAGTTTCGTGTTCAAATATGGTCTTGCAAATATCTACGAGGAACAGTGAGGTGACTGACAATAAAAATAATTCGTTGGCAGTTGTAAAGTTTAAAAATATTAAAGAATTTATAAAAGCAGACGATTGTAAAGTCTAAAAATATTAAAGAAATAATGGGTTTGCAAAATCATAATTAAAATAAAGTAAACGCNAATAAAAATAATTAGTTGGCAGGGATAGAATTAATTGAAGATAGAATAGTTAAATTAGTGTATTTTGTAATAATTATACCAATTGCACAGAACTATCTAAAAAAAATAGCTCAAGAGAGAGACTTTAAAATGTATATGCAAGATGTTCTGTTATGGCTGATCTTAATGTAAATAGCTAGAACTCTTGTCAAAAATAAAATAAGAAAAGACATACATGATAGGGATCTCATATCAATATTTTAGTGAAGAAAAATATCAAGGCTGTTAAAATCTCAAAAGTTCAGGAAAACTAGATTAAAAACATCAATAGTACTTTCTTTAATGCCCAAGGTGAAAGACAGTTATAAGAAACATGCTCACATTTTGTCCTGCAGTGAAACTGATTTTAATGCTTTTGCCTTCCTATTCATATTTTTTAGTTTGCTTAAAGGTTAAAAGGTTTAAGGATTGTAATTTGCAGCCTATTATAATTTTTTATATATATAACCATCGTTGAACAGACAACCCAATCTTTGGGTTTACGGCTACTAATATTCAACTATGTAGCCTTGTAATTTTGAACCCAATCCAGAAAACAAGGGGAACTCCTAAATCAAGTATTGGAAGAAATTTGCCTTCGTGGAGGATTTTTCTGATGGAACTAACCCGCATTTGCGTTACATGGGGAGGAAGACCTCCCACGGTTAGTCTAACGGCAAGGGGACTCTAACCCATGATCCACCGAGGATATTTCACATCAACACTGTGGTTGGTGCAAGATGGATGCGGAATTTGTATTGACCAGCCGTACCCGGGTTTCAGACCCGGTTCACCTCATTAGAAGGCGAGCACTCTATTCCCTGGGCCATCGCGGCTCTGTAGCTTAATTTGTAACTTAAATGTGCGTATTTTTTAAAATTTAATTTTTAACTAATATTATAAAAGTATAATATAGTAAGAGCAATACATATAGGACACGCTGTTTAATATGTTCTCTTAGCATTTTGCTTCTTGTATTGAATTTTCTCTGCAATATTTATCAGAAACTAGTTATTTTATCATGATTATGTAAAGTTTTTGAATTTTATTGGAAATGTTTATAAATTAAACGATAGAAAAAAATAATTTTTATTATTGCAGAGATCATAATAATGANAAATTATTTAGCATTTTGTCAATGTATATAGTGCTTAAAAATATTTTTTGAGTGCTTTAAAAATACTTAAAAGATGCTTATTTTTTGTTGAAAACTCTGCCTGCACACCCTGATTGATATAAAATTAAAACTCTACTAACCTGTGAGGAGTCCTTAATGGCACTTAAATTTTGGTTATCTAAATTAGCTTCTTGTAACTCTATTAGGAGTCTCATTCTGTTTTCATTCTGAAATATATTTGAATACATACATTAATAATATTTCTTAAATATACAATTAAACCAGAGACACTTTAAATATAAATCTTGTGATACCTCAATTTTGATTTTTTCTACGAGTCTCTTTCTTTCTAACTTCAGTTTTTCCAATTGATCTGCCGTTTTGCCATCTTTAATGCCCGACATTTCAAGAAAAGCAATATGAGAATCTTTTTCACTTATAGTTGCAGCAAGTGCTTCTTGTCTATGAAAAGAATTATATTATTAGAATATAATATAATGAAACACATGAATTACTATCATCAGAGATTAAAATATGCCTAAATATTCTATTTTTATTTTATATTAATAATATATAGCATTTTAATTTTTTTGATGAAGAAGAAAAAAATATTACTAACCTCCAATGAAGTACTTGATAAATATAGTTGATAGATAAATGAAATAGTTAAATTTGAAGTTCTTAACCCCCCAAGCTTTGAACCACTATTTAAAATTATACTGAAATTTCCCTGCCATGCACTACTGTAACAGCTATACAACTTGTAATATTAATTAAATTTCCCTCTTTATTATATTGATTTTTTTTTCTATTTTAAGTAATTTTTTTTCTCTTAATTTTATTAAAAAAAATATTTAATATTATAAGTATATTTCAAAGAATTCATTTTAAAATTATTTAAATTTCAAGATAATTGAATATTTAAACAATTTTTATTATTTTGCTTCATTTTCTTAAAGAAGTTATTTAATATTATAAGTATAGCTTAGAAAAATATTTTAAAATACATAAATTTTAAAAGAATTTAAATTTAAAATAACTTTTCTAAAATGTAATTATTAAATATTTTATTTAAGAAATTTGAACGAAATAGTAAAAATTACTTATCAATTATTATTACAAATTCATTATTATTAACTTATTATTATTAAAATTAGTTAAAATTACTATTTAAAAATCAAAATCTATGAACTAAAATTAATTAATCTATAATTTTTTTTTAAAAAAACTAAAGAAGTTGTTTGTTTTATTGAAATAATTCAAAAACATTAAGAAATAATAGCAAACATTAAACTTTTAATACTGAAAAATGTTGTTTTAAAAATTTTTTCAAACTAATTGAGAAACCAAATGCTTCATTTAAAAATATAATTTTTATAGGTAGAAATGAAAGAAAATTATATAAAGCATATTTATTTAAAATCTTAAAAACAAACAATTTCTACATACAATTTTATTTAATGGGCCTGTTTCACGACAAGAATAATTTGGAGCCCGCTCCAAATTTCTTCAACTTTTAATCAGTGAATTTTTGGATCGATTCAATTCATAATTTTACTGTGACATCATTATCCTTTATTTTATAATTCTTCTCTCAATTTTAAATATTTCTATATTATCTTTCTTTAATATTATGATTTACGGTTTTTACAAACTTAGAGAACATTCCTACTGAATGTGATTGGACTACTTAAATGCACCAATCAAATTATCAATTTCTAAATACATGTTTCATTTGAATTTTTACTTTGATAAAAAAGTTACAAAAATATTGTCGTTACAGCATTGAAGAAATATTTTGTTTTAAATTGAAAAGTTTATTTTAAAAACATTGGAATTCTACTCAAAATTGTTTATTTATAATAAAAAGAGAAATAAAAGAATTTCTTTCCACTTTTCTCTTAAAGTGAAAACCGATTAAACTGTTTGGTTTATTTTCGAATAAAATCGTCAGAGCAGTTTGGAGCGGGCTCCAAAAGCTCCATGTTAGGAAACTGACCTGATATACTTAACAAATATTGAAAGGATCTTACTTCAATTCAAGTAATTGTTCTAGGTGGAGCTTCCTCTCAGTTATGAGTATTTCCAAATTCTTTTGTGTTTCAATCATTTTGACTTTTAAAGGAGGACAGTTAGTGCAGCGAGCATTGATACCCTTTTGAAGACCAATAACCTCAGACTGCAACTTCCGAATCTTCAATTTAAAAATACAGAACAAAATCAGTGAAACATAGACATTAAAAATCAAAACTGAGTGGTTAAAATTAAGCTGACACAGTTCAGAAACTCTTAGATCCGGTTCTACGGAACAGATCTGAATAAAACTTTTAAAACATATGATATGCAGAGCCTGTGCTAAGCATTTGCCACCCCGCCAAATCAATAAAATCATAAATTTGGTGGGTAAAATTGTGTTTTAGACAATGATTTTTTCCACTGGAAAGAAAAATATATATTTAACTCGATCCTCAAAATTACATCAAAATAAATTTTTCTAAACCAATCGAATTGGGTCCAAATATTATAAGCCTGAGACAAACTATGGGGAAAAAATTCATCATGGAAAAAAATTCATCAATTTCTATGGGAAAAAAATTCATCATAAAAAATTTTTAAGATTTGCATTTGGCGGAGACTTTCAAAATTGGCGAATACTTTTGATATTTGGCTAATTTACAGGCTAATAATTTGAAATCATTAGCGCACGCCAAGGATCTGTAAACCATAGAGGAAAGGTTTAGATCTGAAATTTTGCAAACAGATGATACTGATCGACAGTAAGAAAAAGAACAGTTCAAAAATCAAATAATAACAGGATATTTTAAATATTTACATAGTTGAGTGCTCAATGTGCTACTTTATTGGCAAACCAAATGGTGAAAGTATACCACAGAAATATCGACTTTATATGCTTATTATTTTATCAGTATAGCTATTGGCGTAATTTCTATCTAAGTATTTGTTCTGATGAAAACTTGAAATGCACGATAAACTTAACATGTAATTACAGTTTTATTCGTTTTTTTCAGAAGAACCAGAACTATAAATCTCAGAGCCTGTTTAACAACCCTATATAAATAATAAAAACAAGCTACTGCAAAATTAAACAAGTTCAAAAAATTTCAAGAAACTAAATTTTTTTAAATAATAAAAAGACACTAATGGTGTCTGTCCTCAGGTTGCTATGCCATCTTATATGGTTTGCTCGGCAAACCATACTCGCTTCTTATAAATCTATTTGAAATGCATTCCTGGGTAAAATCTTAAGAATTTAAATCAATTATTAAAATATTTAAAAGAAATTCCTTTTAAAAAATTAAAATTTTTAGACAATAATAAGTTATTGAATGAAACCTTTTTAAATTGAAATAAATGATGGGCAATAGAAAAATTTCCATTATGGCAACATTGAATATACTCACCAGAAGAATTTCTTTTCTTTTGCCTCATAGCAGTAAAAAAATTACTTTTTTCGATCATGGAACCAATGTTATGTTCTTCAGCAACTTTGACATTCTTTTTACATTATACTTAAAAAGTATGACAACATGACTGATACTCATTTTAAACCTTTCATCATGTTTATTTTACTATATTCAACAGTTGTGTAAAAATTTAATATTTTGCCATATAAAATTAAATTTTAAAAACTTTATAAAAAATTTTATATCTTACACTCCAACAATTTTTAAAATATTATTATATAAAATAATAAATAATTAATAAAAATTATTTTTTGCATGTAATTAGCTTTGAATAAGTTAACTTTATAATTATGAGCAAAACATTTCCAATGAAGTTTAAAAAGTTATCAAGATAGGATGACATTTTATAAAGTAAAATAAGGGGTCCAAACTTTCAGGCACTCTACTGGCCAAACTACTGGGACCATATTTTTCGGATAGCAGCAACCCTCCATATTTTGAGAGTAAGAAATTCAACACCATCAGAAAAAAATTATGTTTTTCCAGAGTATGTTTTTTTGTCTGGCTTAATAATTAATTTATTGCATATTTAGGGTTAGGCTTTCGAACAATTCAGATTGAGTCCTAGCATGTGAAAATCCAATTATTAGATTAAAAGCGGGTATCCCATTGCTAAGGAATTTTATTTTGATTAATTATCATTTGATTTATTATCATTTATTTTTATTCTAAATATGCTTTCTTAAATGAAAAGATATATAAATACTTTTATATTTGAATAAATAAAAAATATACCAGAAAATTTTTTTTTCTTCTAAGGGCCCAAAAATTTGAATGGCCTAGGACCCCGCGTTCGCTTAATCCGGCACTGGTTTAGAGTAAACCAACCAGTGAAGGAACATTTCATATATATTGATTAAAAATAAAAATTTGAAGGTTTCTTTAGTTTGATTGGTAACAATAGCTTACTGCCAAACAATAGGAAGTCATCTAGCAATGTTTAAGATTACCTGGTCAAATAGACTTCTCTGGAAAAATTTTTGAATTTGTTATTATCTCTGCAACACATTGTTTCTTTGAAAAAATTATAAGGTGAGTGTTTTTATTTATATGTTTGAAGTGGAATTAATTGCATGTAATAGTTTTATTTTTCTCACTGTGAAAAAGAGAATTCAAAATATAGTTATTGAAGTTACGTTTTATTTTATTTTTTAATCATCATAGCATAATAAAGTACTGAGATAAGGGGGTGTTTATTCACTGGATCATCAAACGATGAAAAACCAGTGAAGAAACAAGTGTTCCTTTATTGGGTTTTTTTTTCTAACTTAATGAAAATAAAAGATAAACTTTAATTTTCTTGTACCTTTAGTGATGTTTTGCATCAAAAGTATGTTAAAAAATACCAAAAACAACTTCTAACCAGTGAGGGAACAGGCATGTTCCTTTACATATAAATATAAATTCATCATTCATGGCATATAAATTCATAAAGAGCATTAAAAAATAACCAAAATTAAGTGTTCCTTTACTGGATGTTCATTCACTGGTAAGAGCTGTTCCTTCACTTGGTCTTCTTACTACTTGTTATTTGAACCTCCAAAACTTTAAAACAATGTTATGTAAGTTCTCAACATTTTTTTATATAATTTGCAATTAATAGCAAATATGTTGACACTGTCATTTAACTAAAATTACGAATTTTGAAATTAATATGATTTTTTAAAAGGCAAGCGAAGCTTAAGTGTTCCTTCACTGGTTAGTTTACCCTAGATAAAATATGGTCTGGATTTTCATTGAAATTTTCCTGACATAGGGGAGAGTCGGGTAGTCCCGCCCAGCGGGTACCCTCGCCCACAGTCAATTTCATGTGTATAGAATATTTTTTCAAGTCAAATGGGCCATCGGACATTAATTGTTATATTAAAAAAAGATTATTTTCAAAGTTTCAAGTATTTATGCAAGCTGTTAACATGGTAAACAATAGTTTTGAAAATATGTTGAATACAGTAGTCATGAAATTAAGAAAAATTGGTTGAATGTTTCGATTAAACTTCATTTTAATACTAAAAAAATAATTTTTACTATACATACAACATTAAAGTATGTAGTATTAAGTTTTATTTCCATGAGGAATGAAGTTTATATGTGAAAAATTGTTCCAGTAATTAAAAATTTACAAAAAAATTGGATTTCTGGTAGCCCCGCTCACATGAATGTCGAGTATCACCGCTCAATTTTATTTCGTCGATAAATGTACGGTTGCAAAGATTATTATTTTATTGCTTCAAATTTGAATGTTATATCTATTTTAGCAACAAATATTGTTGTTATTAAATGATTGTTATTAAATGATAGAATTCACTAAAAGTATATAAATATGTAATAAATAAAATAATTTTGTGATAAAAATGATAAATGAGGTTTATCTATTGTCAATACATTGGTCACTTTCATTTACACCTGAAAATACAGTCAAAAAACATAATTTTTGTAACTGGGCGGTGCTACACGACATATTTTGAAAAGAGCTGAAAAACATGTTTTATTAAATTTCTATTTTTTTAAGTTAAACTATTCTTTTTTTGGTTTATTCTTTTTGCATTATTTAATTAGATGGTAAAATAATAGAAACATACAAAAATATTGATTATTACTCAATATTATACAGAAATATAAGCAATACTCTTTAAGTGGGCGGGGCTACCCGACTCTCCCCTACCTGGAAAAGTCATGGGATTTTTTTCAGAAATTCAGTGGGAAACCTGTTGAAGTTATTTACAATGTTTAATTTCTTTTTTTTTTGCACACTTGACAATGTAGTGAAAATAGTGATGGTTAAATGTTAGTTACCTTTTCATCAGCAGCTTCGATGACATTCTGCTGGTTTGCCACAGCTATCTCTCTCTGAACTGTAATGCGAACACTCTCTCTCACAGCCTCTTCTAATTCTTCAATCCTCTCTTGCTGCTGTAGCACTTGCTCCTGATGATTTATTTTAAAGAGAGGGATTTTTTTGAGGGGGGAATAAATGGTTTGATGCAAAAAGGGAATAAATAATGATGGGAATAAAATTAATATAAAACAGACATAAACATAAAAAGGAATTTTGCGAAACAAAATAAAATTCGATTGAAAATTAATTAGTTTTCTTAGTTATAACAAAGGAAGAGAATAAAATAATAATAAATACAATTAATTGAAATAATAAAAAATACAATAGTGAATCTCATCAGCAATACAAGGCTGATAGGAATGAAAAGAAATTTTATTTATGAAAATATTAACATTAAAAAAAGCTAGAGAAGAAACTAGCTGGTCCAGATGCCTGTATTATGAACACAAAGGGAGGGTAAGGGGAAAGGAGAAAAGCGAAGAAAGAAAAGAGTTAGTAAACAGGAAATTAGTTAGTCAGAAAGTTATCATTCAGAAAGAAATTAAATGTTAAAATTATAAGCAGTGAACACAAAAAAATTTAATCTGCTTTTTTTAATTACGAGTAAACTATGCATTTAAAAAATGAGAATTTGAATAATCAAGTGACATTGATAAAATTTAAATACTATCCTCTCACTTAATCTTTGCGAGACGTTTATGTTTGGGTCGTTTAAGTCCAATAATTTGTAATAAGGACGATAGCTTTTGGTGACACAAATACTTCAATTTAAAATTCTTGGTTATACATATATATATGTTACAAGTACAGATATTATTTCCATAATTCTGGAGCTCTACTGCTCCCTACTCTTTCACTATATCCAGTCTCTCGATCATTGCACTCCATCCTCTGTCATAATCCAGCTAATACTAACTTAAAAAAACTCTTTTTTCCCACCAGAAAAAGTTCTTCCCTTCACCACACTCCACCCCCACTCTAGCAACCTCTGACTCTCAGGTCAGGGGTCAATAGAATGCTTGGGAGAGGAATCAGTTGGTATTGAAACTTTTGTTCAATAGTATTGGTTGCTATCCATACTTTCAGTACACAGTATTAAGAAAATAGTAAATGGCATTTAAAATTCCATTAAATGTTTGCTACTAGTATTACAAAAAATTATTTTTAATTTTTTCTCTTTGCTGAGCCTAAACTCTTCTTGTAATTAAATACCTGAATTCTGGTTAATCTGAATCATAATAATAAAAAAAAATGCAACATCTTTAGGAGATGCTTTGTTTGAGCTATTGTTTTTGCCAACATAAGTTACTTGTATAATTACCAAAACTACAAAATTATTGATTGCTAAAAAAAACTGTTTATTGAAACAGTAATTAATACTGATAATAATACATCTCTACTGATAACAATAAGTTAAAATTTTGTACAGAAATTTAGTAACAACATTATAAAATATTGCATAGAATCAATACTTTGATTTGAGTATCAATAGTCAATTCAATTCAGTATCATTTGATGGTAGTATGTTAATATTTAAGCTCTTTAATATTTTTTGCTATTAAATATTTAAACTTATTGTTTTATTTTATTGTAGAAAAAACTGTATCTTCAGTAAAAAATTTGCAAAAATCTGCCACACATTACAGAAAAATTTCCACTAATAAGTTTGCTTCTAAGAATATGGAATGCAAACTTATTAAGAATGATTTCAATAAGAACAGGGCCTAGTTATTTCAAAAGCTAACAAGGGCATGCACTAACAAGAAGCAGTTCTACACTTTAAATAACACTTCATAACATTAAAATTAAATAATTGAAAAATATTAAGGAAGATAAATATGAAAAAACAAACATTTCTATTTTGAAACTTTATCCTTTAAATGATTTTAACTCTTGTTTTTTATTCGATGTTGATTGATTTAAAATGTAACTTTGGAATTACTAGAAATTCTTTGCGTCATAACTTAGTTGATTATTTGCTATAACTGTTGAAACATTTAAATTAAATTAAAATCATTAAAAAAAAAAGAGTAAAGGAAAATATACTTAAATGTACACAAAAATAACTTTTTTCAAAATATGCATGGCAATGGACCATTAACTGTTCCATCTTGTAGTTTTGCAAGCTATAGTGTTATTTGTTGTTGCTTGTAAGCACAAATTGTTTGCTTTGGGAAATAAATCCCCTAGTCTCAGCATAATGGATACTAAAAGATGTGGGACACTCACTGCAGTAAAGGTGAAAGAACAGGTAGATAAGCTTTTGATAGATTTATAGGAAGTTGGTTCGTATAAATACTTATTTTTCAATTTGCTAACATGGTATTTTAATTGTTTATAACATTAATCGGCTTGTGTCACTAAGAAATCTGTGTTGGTCACCCATGGCCTAATGAGTTAAATAAATGTGGAGTCTAGCATAAGTTTTTTTAATTTAATTTTGTTAGTGAAACCCTGGATATCAAAAACAAAGATAGGGCTACCTGGCATCGAATTCTAAAGAACGCCAGGGCCCATCCATTCCATGATTTATGAAGAAAAATGCAAATTTAATCAGTACAAAATACTTTAAAATATAATGATTTTTAAATACCTGTGTTTTAGAGGCTTCTTTAGTAGCTTCAGCTTCTCTTCTCCTGGCTTCTTCTAACATCTGAGCATTTTTATTCCTTTCTGCTTGTTGGCCCCTTTTTGCTCCTTGAACTTTGCTTTCTTTGTCCTTCATTCCTCTGAATTGGGAAAAACCGAGTTAAATCAATTTAACTATGACTATTTAGTATTATGTAAAAATAGCACCACTTTGAAGTATAAGAAAACCCAATACCTTTGATCTTAAATGTGATATTAGCTTTCATATTGTCCAAAACTTAACAATCTTACTATCATAGAATACTTTTTAACCCAATCTTTATACTGGGTAGTTCCCTAATGACACTTCAGTAATCACCATATGTATTTCAAGGATTCTCCAAAAATGAAATAAAAAAAGTACACTTAATGGGAGTCATAAATTAATGTTTAAGCAAGGAAAAATTAAAAACACTATCAAAATCTGAAGAAAAATGAGGGATAAAATATATCCAGTCCTGTTTGATTGTTCCATGAAACTCGAGGGTTTTTCTAGAAAATCACCATTCAACTCCTTTCAGTTTTCCAAGGCAAGAGCAATCAAGCACGTTTTGATGACTTGAATACACCTTCCACAATAGTGATTTGTTTTATCTTTCTCGACGTTATAAAAATTTGCAACCACTAATGTATCTAATATCAGGGCAACAACTCCGATATTTTTGTGGGATTATTAGTCAAAATATAATGAGTAACGAGGCCATATTCTGCACAAGCTTTTATTTACCTACTCTTGAGCACTAGGGTCATCGGTCAATACTATGGAACACACATCAAATGGTTTCAGAGAACTAGCTCGAGCCAACGTCTCTTCTGACAACTTTTTTCGCCACCAATGAAGCAATTTTTTTCTTTTCCCCGGTGGGTGAAGGGATGAGGAATTCTTCCAACTCCAGCCTCCATATATCTGGAGCCCCAAGGAATCTCATTCCGTCTACGTCGCTCCGACAACTTTTTCGGCTTCGGGATGAAGAACCTCCAACGGTTCCTCCTTTCAGCCTTAGAAGGCTTAAGATTCAACTGTATACGCAATGTTTTTTCTGCCAAATGGTGTCTCCGCTAATCTTAAATCCTGCCAGCTTCTAATATCAATGCAATAATCTCGATATTTTGGTGGATTATTCGTCAAAATAACAGGAATAATGAGGCCATATTCTGCATAATCTTTTTGTATTTCATAATTTCCAACTAAACTCCGTCTGTTTTGACGGGACATGTGTCTCCCCCTCTCCAGCTGGGAGGGGGCTGAGACTTCTGCTTCCGTTTAGTAAATAAAAAAGATTATGCAGAATATGGCCTCATTATTCCTGTTATTTTGACGAATAATCCACCAAAATATCGGGGTTATTGCCCTGATATTAGATGCATATATTTTTTTTACTTTCTCTTTTGCAAGGATTAAAAAAAAACATTGTGGGTTGTGATAACAAAATACTCTGTATTTTGTTAAAATTCTAATGAAAAATGAAATTAAAAAAATAAATAAAAGTTATTCTAAACTGAATAACTAACCATCATTAAAAAAAGGGAAGAGATTGAAATTAAGTAAAACCAGTTTACATGAGGATGAAGAAGAAACCTCTTAAACAGTAAGTGAAATATAGACAGGGTCAGGGAGGATAAGGCTCCACAATTTCGTGACCAACGGCATGATTGCGCAATGTGGTCAACACTGCGCATAGGCTGCCTTTACTTCCCAGACAAGTTGGTACCCATCGATCTGAAGCTGGGCGGGCTTGTAATTATTAGCACAATGTATACGGCTGGTCAGTTTACGAACAATCATCAAAATCAATAGATCACAAATTATATCTAAGAAATGTACACTTTGATTCTAACATATTTATTAATAATTTTTTATAATGAATATTCGATTTTGATTAAATTCCATGTGCAAAAAAACAATTTTGTATGATATTTTTGGACAAAAAAAAATAAATATATTTGTTTAACACTTTTTTTTATAATTGAAATATAGTAAAGTGGCTCAGAAATATAATCTTGCTGTTTTTAATCAACTTTAATAATTCTTCCATCGGTTCATTTAATTGGAACTTTTCCTTTTCTACTAGAGTCACAATCAACAAATCACAAATTATATCCAAGAAATGTTATACTTTGATGCAAACATTATAATTATTTGTAATTTTTTAAATTTTATAATAAATATTCAATTTGGATTAAATTGCATACTTAGCAAAACAATTTTGTATAATATTTTTGGGCGCAAAAAAAAAAAAGATTTTTGTTTAACACTTTTTTATAATTCAAATATAGCACAGTAACTTAGAAATACAATCTTGCCGCTTTCAATCAACTTACTCTTGTAATTCCTTAATCTGTTCATTTAATTGGAACTTTTCCTTTTCTACTACAGTCATAACATCAAGTAATCGATCTAACTCTGCTTGTAGCCTCTTAGCATCTTCTTTGGATTTTATTGATTCTTTTTCTAGTTTGTCTTTTTCCTTGGATAATTCTTCACAAAGTTTTTCTAATGCTCCCAATCGTTTCTGATCATCAGCACTAGGTCCACCAGGTCCCTAAAAAAAATTTTTTATCTTATTTTGAAACATTATTCTAAAAAATAGGTAGATAAAAAAATTAAGCTAAAAAATAGAATTAATCCACGTCTCCTCAACATTTTTGGCACAACAGTGCAGTGACGACCAATCCTTTTGCTGCAGATTCCACATGGACAACCTATTTTTTCTATCTAGTTCAAGGAAAAATGCTGACTAAATAAAATTCAGTTTCTCCAACTACTAGTTCAGTGTTATAAAAAAAAATACTTTTTATTTTGGAAGTACTTTAACTCTACTATTAATTTTTGAGGAGAGAAATTTAAATTCGAGAAGTGAACTTCAAAACAGACATTAAATTTGTAAATTATTGCCATTTCATTTCACAGATTTTTTATAACTGACAAATTATTTATCTAAAATAAGCCCTCTAGAATTATTCCTTAAATTTTAAATCCAAAACATTATTCCACATTGTTTTTTAAATTATTTACACTACATACTGGTTAATTAGACTAAGGTTCCTAAAGAAATAAACAAAAGGCTAATAAAATATATTGCATTCAATTTCTATGCACTTTTTTTGTTTTCACCAATATGTCCAAAATTAACACATTTATTGTTTGCATGAAAAAGCAGGGTCCTTCCTATGACAATCTAGATTGGTCATCCCAATGTTAATTCTCCAGAAAAGCTTATTTTTTAAATTTTATTTATTTTGGGTTCAAAATCCTCTTTCCCAAGCAGTTGCAGTTATTGGCAGCGTTGAGCAATAACTATCAATTTCCTAAATTCAAGTTTTGTAAAAGACTTGGCATGTTACCTTCTCTACATTTATCACTATATTTACAGAAATATAGCATCTTCATGAATTTAAGATGAATAATTTAATCTGCTGAGTTTTGAAGATTGATTCTTTAATTATATTGATTTGGTGAATAGCATGGGAAAAAAAATTAATAGTTATTACAAAAAAATTGACAAGGAGTATTTTTCTCCAGAAAAATTTTTAAGAAGTGAAACTCAAACCCAATGTGTGAAATACGCATCCAGATGCATATTAGTGAACTCTGCCCTAATTATACACACTCCTTCTGAATTGCAACTAAACAAGTTTGTAGAACCTGTTTGCGACTGAACCCATAACCTTTTTACCTTTTTCATGATTCCTCAATACTAATCTATCATTTGTAAATCATGACAAGCTATTTTTAAACTGTGTGAATACAAATTGTGATATATAATATCAATTGCAATACATAATTCATAGCATTAAATCGTGCAATTGATAAAGAACCACTTTGCGATGTAGTGTTAGGCAAGCATTGGAAATACTTTACCTTGCTATGATATAAAATATTATTTGTAATGTGTAATTCATAGCATTAAAGCACACAATTAATATATAATATAACATCAGAGAGACAAGCATTTTAAAGACATTTACTTTGATTATTTCATGGTATTGTAGATCAATCATAATCATTTCCCACAGTAAAAGTGAAAAGAAAAATACTTAAGCTCAGCTAAAAAAAATAGCAAGTCAGCCCTTAAAATAAATAAATTTATTAAACTAAAATAGTTTTAATTCACAATAATAGAAATAAATTTATTATAAAGCTTCCTATCGCTCAATTTGGTGACTTTTAAAATAAAATTTTAAAAATTCTGCGTCTAAAAGCTGCTTAAAAAGGAAAAAATTATGATCTCTTTATTATGATCATTGGTTATCCATTGGTCAAATGCTTTTTTTTCTTTTCTGGATTGACTCCGATAAACGCCACAACATTTCATGTCATGGGTTGCAAAAACTATTTCAATTGATGTTTGTCCTCTTGTTGTCGGACTGGTTTTCAAATCATGCCTATATACGTGTTTCAAGACTTCACAAAATACTTTTTCTTCGTCAGTATTTATATTTATATTAAAATCACCGTCACAACAGTAATTATAAGATAATAATAAAAAGAATATAAAAATACTTTAAATTATCATTATGTAAATACATTAAAAATGCTTGCAATGGAAATAAAAAGAAAGAAAAAATTATCAAGCAACAGCAGTCACCATAACAACGCATGCAATGACGACACATACGCACTGTTTACTATTACTCTTGAGCACAGTTGAAAAGTGTGATGTCCAAATAAAGTGTGCACGCCATCAAACCCAAAACAACACCCATTTTGCCAATGGGTAATAAATCAAATGTTTTGGAAAACAGAGTTTCCCTACGATTACCACTCCACTTGTGCCATTAAGAAAAAGATATTGATAAAATATACTTTTTTCATTTTACTATATATCTATTACTATCTACTTTGATTCCTAACTAATTCCTGAACCAGGAATTCAAATAAACGAAATTTCCTATCACAGGAAATAAATCTGCAAACAACCTTTTACTACTATTGTCATAACCCACACAGGGCAAAAAGTACCATTTAAGTATTAAGCAACTAGGTTTTGGCAGACCCTTGGTCTTTAATATAGGTATCTAAAAAATTATCAATCATAGTTAGAACTCAAAAAAAGAAATGAAACCTATCCTCCTTTTATCAGTCATACCTTTTGTGCTTGCGTTTCTGCTTGTTTGATTTTTTCTTTACATTTTTTCAACATATTCTCTAGATCTTCTATCCTCTTCTGCTTCTCTTCCCCTTGCTTTTTCAGAGTTGCTAATTCAGCTTGCTGTGGACCACCAGGACCTCCTTGCATCTAATATAATACAAAATAGTACATTGTAATATGAATATTTTTTTTAAATCTCTTATAATGAATATTCTGCAATCACTCAAAATTCTCAAAAATCAATTAAAAAAGGTATTAATGACGACAATTAATTTAAGAGAAACAGAAAACAGGAGTATTGCCAAAGGCTGAAGAATCATCATCGATGCAAATCACAATCAAATTGGGATTAAAAATATCAAATTTAATTTTATTCTTAGTTAAATTGAAAGAACACAAAAAGGAAATATTTGAAACCCTTCCCTTATACCTTGAATTAGAAACTATGTAATATTAAACCCACAATTAGAAACTATTCCTATTTCAGCAAACAATAAAACTAAAACTAGTTTCGATACTTGTAACTTGACGATGATTCTTTTCGATAATAATTTATCCAATTTTGATAAAGTTTTTTTTCTCACTTTACACCATAGTTTTGAGAAGCATAGTGATTACATAGCAAAATATATATATTAAAGCAACATGAAATATAAATATTAATACAATTGAAGAATTTAGTAAAAAAGACATGTTAAATGATATTTTAATGAATTTGAGGGAGAAAAAAAAACTTAAAATGCACAGAAACACCAAGAAGTTGATTATAGATTCCCTTGAAAATCACACTATTTTAAAACTTTTCCGAAAAAATTAATGGTCTATTATTGTGCTGGGTCATAATAAATTTGAAAACAAAACCAAGCAACTTTCACACTTGCAAAATATCACTTAACATCTCTTTCACTAAGCTTTTCAATTTTATACACTCTAATAAAATGTACAGCAGCAAATAAATAGAAATGAATAATAAAAATAAAAAAAGTCATAATTCGCAAAATATAAAGAAAATAACTTAAAATATGCATAGGGTAAACTTAAAATATTTATGTAAAATCCTAAAATAGCCATGCTTACTAAACAACCAAGTATAATCTATAATATTGAACGAAAATATAGTGCAGTTCTACAGTGTTGAAACAAAGAAAAAGGCAATGCAGCTCTACTACGTTGAACCAAAAAAATAATGCAGCTCTATGATGTTGAACCAAAACTATAATGCCCTATGAAATATACTAGACAGACACTGACCTGGCTTCTTTCAATCTCTTGTACGAGCATTTCTAATTGAGATTGGAATCTTTCTCTTTCCACACCAAAAGATTTTACTTCATTTTGGGATTTTTCTAAATCTGCTTTTAGCTTTTCAACTTCTTGAGCATTCTTTTGAGCCTCCGCTTTTTGCTTTTCAATTAATTTTTGTAATCTGACATTTTCTTTTTCTAACTTTTCAGTAGCCGCAGGTTTAACCACATTCTTTTGTACCTTCTGCAATTCAGCTTTCATCTGCTGATTAAGTTCCTTGCTCTTCTGCAATTCAACCTGACAAGCTTCCAGCTCTTTTTGGAATGTTGCAATAGTGTCTCCAGATTTTGCCAGCTCTGCGCGAAGTTCTTGCTTCTCAGTATCACCTCCTTGCAATCTTTTTTCAATTTTATTAAATTCTGCTTCCATGCTCTTTTTCACCGTTGTCAAATCAGCATTTAGTTTATCTCTTTCAGCCCTCAACTTTTCGATTTCTTTTCTGTCTTCAGCCATCTGTTTGTTTAAAGTGCCTAAAGTTTCAGCATACTGATTAACTTCAGTGCTTAACTTTTCGTTCTCAACTAACAAGCTTTCAATTTTTTCAACAAGTTTCTGAGTTTCAGTTTCAATACTCTTTTGGCTCTTGGACTGCTCGGATTTCAATTTCTTGTTACTTTCCTTCAACTTCCTGCATTCATTTTGTGAATCACTAAGTTCTTTCTGCAGATTTGCTATTGCTTCATGGGATTTCTTCACCTCCGTCCGTAAATCTTTCAATTCCGATTCTGTATTAACTAGTTGTTCTTCAACCTTTTGGAATTCGCATTCAACAGTTTTTTGGGAAACTAAACGTTCACTTCTAAGTTTTCTATTGTCCTCCCTCAATTTTTTAAGCTCAGATAAATATTTCTCCACCTCTTCTTGAAGATTCGAAACTGCTTCATAAGATTTTGCTAACTCATTTTTAATTTCTGCATTTTCGGAACTTTTATTTTCTAAATTGTCTTTTAAAGTCTTAATTTCATTTTCCATATTCCGTTGAGCAGAGTGGTGAGCTTGTTTCAAGTTTCTATTTTCTTCTTTGGTAAAATCAAGCTCTACAGCAGTATTTTCAATCTTCTTTTGCAAGGTTGATAATTTTTCGTGATACTCACTCAGTTCGGATTTCAATTTCTGATTCTCAGATTTCTCAGTTTGGAGATCAGATTCTAATCGCTGGACATCACTTTCTAACGTTTTCTTAGATTTTGAATCAGATTTCAGTTTTTTGTTTATTTCTTTAAGTTTCTGAAAATCTGCTTGATATGTTTCAATTTGCTTTTTCAAATCAGAAATATCATCATAAGACTTTTTAAGCTCCATTTGTAGTTCTTTATTTTCCATCATGGAGTTTTGTAAATCTTCTTCTAACCGTTGAAATTCTGAAGAAATACTTTTCTGAGTAGCATTCTGTTGTTCCTCTAATATTTTATTTCGTTCTTGGAATTTCTGCAGCTCAGTTTGAGTATCCTGTAGCTTCTTTTCTTTCTCTATTAACTTTTCTTTGACCTCACTCAACTCTTTTTGGGCATCTCTATACATCTTACCCGTCTCAGAAACTGTCTTTTTAGAATTCTCAAGTTCTTTTTGAACATCAGTATGCTGTTTTTGTGTTTTATTTAAAGTTCCTTGAGCTTCGTCTAGTTGTCTTTGGGTGTCTATATATAACTTCTGAGTCTGTTCAACCACTTGCTTATATTCATCAATTTGACTATGGAACTCCTTATTTTCCCTATTAAGTTTCTCAAATTTTTGTTGCAATTCCTTTAATTCCTTATCAATATTTTTAGATTTTTCAATTTCAAGCTTCAACTTGTTTTCGCAATCCTTTAATCTTTTATTTTCAGCTGACATTTCATTTATTTTATGTTGAATATCAGATATCGTTTCCTGACAAGTGGTAAGCTCAGTTCTTAATGTTTTGTTTTCCTCATTGATATCATAAAGAGATTCAGTTTTCTGAAGCTCACTTTTTAACCGATTTTCAGCTTTTTCTAATTCAAATTTAATTTTCTGATTAAATTCCTGTGCTTTAGTTAATTCATATGATTCATCACTCAGCTGCTTCTCTAGGGACTTAACTTTATCATTCATCACTTTGACCTTATCTTCCAGAAGTTCTTTTTCAGACGATATTTCTTTAAGTTTTTTATTAAGGGCACTTGTATCATTTGCATAATCTTCTTTGGTATTTTCCACACTGGCATGCAGTTTTCTTATTTCATCATCTTTTCTTCCTATTTGTGAGCTTATATTTTTTATTTCACTTTGGAGATTAGATATCATTTCATATTGTTTAGACAACTCTTTTTTAGTTTCATTAAGTTCGCTCTGAGAGTTTATAAGCTCATCTTTGTATTTTCCTTTCTCCACGTCGACTTTAACATATTTTTCTAAGTCACTCTTTAATTCTCTTATTAAATTATCTGCATCATTTTTCTTGTCTAAAAGTTCTTCATACCTTTTCTGTGAGTTGGCAATATTATCATATGATTTTGATAGCTCAGCCTTTAAAGACTGATTATCCTGATTCATTCTTTTCAGCTCAATTTCAACTTTGCTATAGTCACTTGCTTTTTTCTCAGATTGCATTAGATCTAATCGGTATTTCTCAATTTTATCTTCCAATTTCTTAACTTCCTTGTTTAAATCATCTCGTTGCTTCTGAGTAGTGGATATTGACTCGTATGCTTTAACCAGTTCCAAACGTAGCTCTTTATTTTCAGAAGCAGAATTTTGTAGTTGGTCTGAAAATTTATTGACTTCGTCATCCATTTTTTCCTTCAGAACTTCAATGTCGGTTCTGAGTTTCCTGTTACGCTCCTCGTGAGTCATGCAGTTATTTTGAGAATCTTCTAATTTCATCTTTATGTTTGATACCTTTTCTTGGAGAGTTGATAACTCTTGTTTTAGATCTTTATTTTCAGTACTTAATGTTTGGAGTTGATCTTCCATCTTTTTACACTCTTTGTCTTTGTCTTGAGATTTTTCAAGCCTAATTCTTAAGAGACGATTGCTTTCTTCAGCTTTTTTAAGTTCCGAATTTGCGTCATCCAGTAACTTTTGAATGTTAGAAACCTTCTCATACAACTTCTTTGTTTCTGCTCTAATTTCAGAGTTCTCAGAATTAGCTTGATATAACTTTTCCTCTAATTTATTGTAACGGGACTGAGAGAGCTGACTTTTGTCTAATTCTTTTTTTAATTTACTGATATCATCTTCTGCTTTTGAAAGTTCTATCTGGTATTTATCAAGTTGTTTTTGATGGCTTGAAATTGTTTCATAAGACTTAGCAAGCTCCATTCGAAGTTCTTTCTTTTCAGAATGAGCATTTAATAATTCTTCTTCTACCTTTATAAGTTCACTCTCAACAGTTCTTTGAGATTTAGCCTGTTCAGCTCTGAGCTTGATGTTTTGGTCCTCTACAGTTTTTAATTCTCTTTCTAAGTCATCCAGTCTTCTTTGCAAGTTAGATACAGTTTCATAAGTTTCTGCAAGCTCCATTCTTAGCTCTCTGTTTTCTGCATTAGCGCCAAACAGTTGTTCTTCAATTTTTTCCAATTCATTTTCAGCCTTTTGAGATTTTATTTGCTCATTCCTTAATACTTTATTTTCTTCCACTAGTAACTTCACGTCCTTTTGCACTTCCTCTAATTGTTTTTGAAGACTAGATGCATCCTCATATGATTTGGCTAACTCAACCCTTAAGTCCCTTATTTCAGCATTTGCACTCATAAGTTCTTCTTCAGTCTTAAGAAGTTCTGATTCAAACGTTCTTTGAGAATTGGCTTCTGATTTTAGTTTCCTGTTGTGTTCTTCTGCCCTCTTCAGATCAACTTGTGAATCTTCTAACTGCCTCTGGATGTTGCTGATCGTTTCGAGAGATTTAGATAACTCTCTTCTTAATTCTTTGTTTTCATTCATAGTTTCTTCCAGTTGCTGTTCAAGCCTCTGCAACTCCCTCTTATGCCGCTGCAATTCCATATGAGAATAATCCAACTCAACTCTTGATTTTTGCTGATATTCTTCAGTTTTACCTCTTACTGATCGATGGTGATCCAGTTCTCCCAATACTTCTTGTAATTTTGCCTCTAATCTGTCTTTATCATCTGCAGAACGACGAGCATCTGTTAGAGTTCTGTCTAGTTTGTCTTTCAATCTATCTATTTCCCTTTGTAGTTTCTCAACTTCTCCTTTTCCAGAAGACTGATCTTTGAGGTGTCTGGCCAAAGATTGTTCAGCTTCTTCAAGTTCTTCCTTTAGTTTAGTTATTTCTATTTGAAGTCTACTGTTTTCAGCAATAGTTTTGTGCAGCTCTGCTTCAGATTTGTGGTGAAGAGCTCTAATGCGTTCTGTTTCAGCTTTAGCCCTTTGAAGATCTGTATCTGAAGCATGGTGAGTAGTCTGTAAACTATCCAACTGAGATTGTAACTGACTTAGTTGAGATTGATGGGCTTTACACTCACCCTCCAGATTGTCTCTCTCTACATGTACTTTTTTCAAATCAGCCAGTGTCCTTTCATGTCTATCAGTTACTTTTTCCAATTCAAATTTAACTTTTTCAACCTCCTGTTTTTGTCGATCCTCTGAGGTGGCATGCCTTTCAGCTTTCAACTCAGCTACTTCAAGATCATGCTTCATTCGCTCAATTTCCATATTATGCTGATGTTTTAATTCTTGATATTTTTTCACTTCATCTTTTGAAAGTTCCAATTTGTTTTTCAATTTATCCACTTCAATATGCAGCTTGGAAATTTCTTCAACGTGGTGATCTTTCTCTATTTCTACCAGACGTTTCTCATTTGATATCTTATCCACTTCTGCTTTAACTTTGTTACACTCGTTTAGAGTTTTCTCTTTATCCCTTGAGCATTTTTCCAACTCCATTTCAGTCTTATCATGTTTAAGTTTTAATTTTTCCAATTCATCTTTCAATGTTTCAATTTCAAACATAGCTTTTTCTTGATTGGTATGATGTTTAAGCATTTGGCTTTGATATCGTTCAACATCTGATTTCAAGTTGGCACTTTCTATTTGCAATCTATCCTTTTCTGCATGCGTTCTATTCAATTCTGCCTGTAATCGTTCGACTTTTTCTTTCAATATTTCAATTTCTTTTTGAGATCTTGATAAGTCTTCTTGTGACTTCTCATGGCTAGACTGGGTTTTTCCAATTTGAGTAGTCACTCTATTCAATTCATTCTTTAGACCATCAATTTCAGATTGCAGTTTCTCTAATTGCGTTTGAGCTTTTCTTAATGAATCCTGAGACTTGTCATATTGCTCTCGCATGACATTTAGTTCCATCTGACAACGGTCCAATTCCAAGCGAAGTTTTTCTTCAGATTCCTTGGAAATAGTCAGTTGCGCAGCAGTTCTGGAATGCATTTCTCTAAACTTTTCCAATTCATCCACAGCACCTTTATAGTCTTCTTTAGTTTTATTTGAAGAAAGATTAGATTTTTCTAACTCCAAACTTAATTTTTCCATATCAGTATGCATTTGATCTAACTTTGCTTGTAATTTATAAATATCTGAATGCGATTTTTCCGATTTTTCTGTCAGTTTGTCATATTCTCTTCTTGCATTGTCTCGTTCCTCTTGCGATTTTTGCAACTGAGCTTGTAACTTTTCAACGTTTTCTCGATAAGATTTAGCTTCTTTTTGGGAAGAATCGTAATCATTATAATATTTTTCCAGTTGATTTTGAGTCTTTTCAAGGCGATCTTTAATGATGTCATATTCAGCCTGAGTATTTTCCTTTTCTTTTAAAGCTTTTGTGAGTTGCGCATGTAAAGAATCCGATTTTTCTTGAAGTTTTTCTAAATCTAAGTTAGTGATATCTTTTTCCTTTTGTAGTCGTTGCAGTGCCGCAAGAGTTTTTTCATACTTCTCTTGAGATTTTTCTGCTTCCACTTCTATCATTTCTTTTTCTTTCTGGAATTTTAATGAATTCATCTGAGCTTGGCTCAGTTGGGACTGTAGATTGTCTAATTCAGATTGAGCCCTCTCTCTTTCTACCTGCATACGTCGCAATTCTGCATTCGCCTTATCCAACTTCTCTTGAATACGATCCGAATCCATTTGTGCCTTGTCTAATGAAGACTGTGTTTTTTCATTTTGAGACTGACTCTTATTCAGTAGTGTTTGAATTCGATCCAGTTCAGTGCGGAGCTTTTCTGCTTCTGCCAGTGCGGCATCTCGCTCACTCTGTGAGCGCGCAACTGTTGACTGTACTCGATCATACTCCTCTTGAATGCTTTCTTTGTCAGCTTGGGCATTCTCTAGTTTAGCTTTCAGACGATATATTTCACCTTGAGAGCGCTCTATTCTTTCTTGAAGTTGCTCGACTTCCCCTCTCGAACGATCTTGCTCAGCCTGGTGCATGCGATATTCCGCTTGAACTCTGCGTAGTTCAGTCTGTGCCTTTTCTAAACGATCTTGAATACGTTCATATTCATCAGATTGGTACATTTGGGACATGCCATATGTAGTCTGAGTTCTATCAAAATCGGATTTCAAACGCCCAGACTGCTCTCGCATTCTCTCATTCTCCAGGGCAAGCCTAGCAAACTCAGTGCGACTGCGGTCAGACTCATTCTGAAGCTTCATCATCTCTGACTGCATTTTATCCAACTCTGCTCTGGCCTGACCTAATTCAGATTGAGAATTTTCAAGCTTAACCTCTATTCTATCTTTTTCTGTGGCCGCTTTCTCCAATCTCACCTGTAACTTTTCCATGTCGCTCTCCAGTGCATGCATTTTCATCTTATACTCAGCTATATCCCTCTCGTGAAGCTCGCGTTCTTCGTTCTTCTCCTGCTCTGCGCGGTCTCGTTGCTCTCGGAGTTGTGTGATCTGCTTGTCCTTGTCCCCTATCGCTTCTTCTAAACTTGAAAGTGCACCTTCAGAAGAGGAGTGATGGGCCTGCATTGCTGTCAGTCGGGCACGTGCCATGTCCACTTGATTGTCTTTCTCTTTCAGAAGGTCTTCTAAATTTTCAATCTAGAAAAAAATGAGTACAAGATGAGAAGAATTAAGAAACAAACAGCATAACTAGCACCAATTAACTGATTTGTTTCAGTACTATACATAAGTACCTTTGTTAATACAGAAGCAACAGATGAATATCACCTTCTGTTGCCTTGACACTGAGGAGGGTACTTTCGCACAGTACTAAAATAATTGTCTGGTTAATCTGTTTATTTGTACTTATTATGTTGTTTTACTACTTGCAAAGAGCTAACCTAACAAATTTTGATATTTAAGATATGTCCTAATGAGACATATCATGATTTTCTGTGATTGCATTTAGAGTTTTCTGAAATAAGTGTAACACATGCATCAAGGAATATAATATGCATTATAGTCTGTTGTGTAAATCATGTAATACACTGGTGTGCAAAACTTAAGCAACAAGTGCGTTTTTTTGTCATAACTCTACAAGAAATCATCCGATTGACATGAAATTTGAATATGATGTACATTATTTTGTACTTAAACGATGGTAAAAGTATAATGGCGCAGAAATGAATATAAAGCTTAAAAAAGAGTATGGAACAAAAAAAGGCTTTATTTGACATATAGTGGCGTTACACATGATTGCCTGAAGAAGCCTAAGTACAACTGGCAGATGTTCCCTAGTATGGGATATGCCCTCCCCTTACTGTAATAGTTGCTTGGCATCGTCTCTCCAGGCTAAGCACCAGATTATCCCGGAGTTCTTGGGGTAAACGTCTCCATTCCTCCTTTAACGCATCTTTCAGCTGATGGGTGTTACCAGGAGGATACTGTCGTGTCGCAAGACGTCTCCCTAATGCATCCCACACATGCTCTATGGGATTTAGATCTGGAGAGTAAGCTGGCCAATCCATTCGTGTGATATCTTCACTTTCCAGTAGCTCTTGAACATTAGCAGTACGGTGTGGCCGGGCATTGTCATCCATAAAAAT